CTGAGCAATAATGAAATTCGCCATTACCAGTATGATACATCACACGTGTATGATACATCACACGTGCGATTTCACGTCAATCAGATCTTTCAATATTGAGTTAATATTGTCGTAATATTTGATTATTTAAAAACATAAAATTCAAAAAAATTTTTCGCCTAAATTTTTGATCACATTTTCAGCTTTCCAAAACAAAAGCTGAAAATGTGATCAAAAATTTTAAAAACATAAAATTCAAAAAAATTTTTCACGATTTTCAGCTATAAATTCATTGAGGAACGCAATTCATGCATAAAAAGATAAAAGTTGAACAGTTTGAGTGTTACTTCTTCAGAGCGTTATTGTTTTTTATTGAAAAACAAAACTTCAAAACATTTTTCTAAATTTTCGATTTTATTTTGTGCTAATTTTTTGTGCAAAAATCATTTCGTAATTTGCAAAGACGAATTTTTGTAGTCTAAGTAGTTTATGCACAAAAAATTTAAAAAATGAATAATCTTCGAAAAACTTTTGAAAATAATAATTTTACTGAATTCTAAAATTTGATTGCCAAAGTGACAAAACGGACTTAATTTAATTGCATTTCACAAAATGCAATTATTTGTAAATGTTAAAAATGTTAGAAAACAAAATATAAACTTCGGCACAACTGTAAAGTGATAAAATTGAAATTTCGTTCTTAGTGGACACTGTGAAAATTAAAGGACGGCTAGAGCGTTCTTGAAGTATTCCAATTAGAAGTAAGACTTGCATTCTTTAATGCATCGATTGGTTTGTGATATTATTAGCACAGAATTTCCTGGCAAAGTTTTACTATGGAAGATTTGAGTATAAATTTTACTTGTCGATTTGTATATTATAAATAGCAATCAAATATTATAAATAGAGATAAGCAAAAAACGATTTTTTTAATTCTCGGACATTCCAGTAATCTTAATTTTTTATCGATTAAAATAGTTTAAAGTATTTCCCTGGAATTATTTAAACTAAAATAAAACTAACAGTTTTGAAAATATAATTTTGCTTTTATTAATTAATTATGGACTCTAACATTTATGTAGTAAGTTTAATAGTTTTGAACTTACTATCTAACAAACCGAAGTAAAATACATTGTAATTATTCAGAATAACGCCAAAGTAATAAAGTAACAGTCCTTATTGTTCGAGTATAGTTTTATGAGAATAATTATCTAATTGTAGCGATTATGTCTGTGGAGCTCATATTTAATATGATAGAAGTTTTTGATTTTGTTTTTCTCGTTATTTTTTGTCCATTTTTCAAATGTTTATTCTTGTTATTTGTCAGAACATTTTAAAATATCAGTATTATTATTATATCTGAAGCTATGGCGACTGCTGAAGAACGTAAGCTTGAACTAGAACGTAAGAAGCAAAAACTAGCTGAGATTCGAGAAGAAAAGCGACGTCGGGAAGAAGAGCGACGACGGAATTTGCTAAAAAATACAAATTTGGAAAATGGAACAGGTTTTTTTATTAGTGCTATTTAAATTATGCAAATTTCGTTCTATTTAAAGAGTCTTAAAATTATAAAAATAAGCTAGATATGAATTACTTGTTAGTCGTTTGTGAAATGTCTTGTGACTATCTGTTTGAGAATGAATGTAAAATTTTCCATTAATAATTAGAAATGTTGCAAACATTTGTATGATTTCTAGAGCTAAATTAGTTGTTATTTTATTTTATTATTTAATGTTTTTAGGTGTTGAGTTACCAAAAATATTTTCGCAGAAAGATTTGGATGAATTACTTCAACCTTTGGGAATACCAGCTCAGCCTCAGATTGAGCGTTCCACTTCTTCAAATAATGTAGACTTTCCTACTGTGGTGAAATTTTTTCAAAGTTTTATTTTTGAGTTGAAATAATTTGAGAGCAAACTAAGATCAATTGCACGCGTAATTTTCATATGTCTACCCATTATATGCTTCTACGTGCTTTATTTTGTGTTAATTATTATATGTTCATATTATTTAAATTTCTATATTATAGGAAGGTGTTGGCATTGGTGAACGATATTCATCTCTTTCTACTTCGCAAAAACTTAGTGTTTGTGAAGCGCAAGTGATTTCTGTTCCACCCAGAGATGCGGTAAATACCTTAGGTTAACTTGTTGAATGCCCCATTTTAATTTGTTTAGTGTTTCATATTTCATGGTTAGTGATCGTAATTCGGTTTTTGAACTTTTATTTCAAACGATACATATCTCTGGAATTTGAATGCTATTATTTTTGCTGGATTAAATGGAGTAGTTTTGCTCATAGGCAAGCTACTGTAAAACGACACAGACAGATGACGATCGAGTATCAGCTGGTGAATTTAGCTTAGGTTCTCAAGAATTCGACTATGATGAAGAAATGACAATGCTGGACAAACATTTGGAAATTAATTTTGATGAATCACCGACACGGGAAATAGCCAGCATACTACCAAATTTTAATTTCGGAGTACGACAGCAGCAAGAGGTATATTGCTTCTAATAATAAAAGCCATATATTGAGAATTTAGAGCGTATGTATAAGCTCTTAACTTTTATAGCCTGGAGAAGAAAAGAAGCAAGACGAACCAAAAATTCCTGATCTTAGTGAAGGGGAAAAGTTGCAAATTCTCAGTAGTTATAAATTTCAACAATTTTTTGATTACAGTTCACGTGTGATGGAACGCCAATTAGCTGAAGAAGTTAGTTACATATAATTTCTAAAAGAGATTCAGTGCTATAGTGTTAAATTTGTCATTTTCATTGATCGAAAATGGTCTTAAATGTCTCAATAGTGAAGATTTTCGGGTTTCTTCATTTGAAACGCGATTAAAGTATCTATTTGTATAATTGACGATGCCTTATTCTGTAACACTATTGTTATGTGAATGTTTTAGATCAGAACGACAATGAAAATAAAATCATGATTTAACACATTGAACTTTTCTAGGTTGACTTTTTCATTGATTATTCTCGTGACGAAGCTACTGATAAAAAAGCCGACAATGGTGAAAAATTAGTGTTTTCCAGAAAATTTGTTGATGAAAGATGGAGTGCAGGAAGGTAAATATTTAGCTGCCATCTGGCTTTAATAGCTATTTTTTCTCTCTGTAATTCAAATCTCTAAAAAATGACAAATAGAACACATTATTATTTTCTGTTTTTTCTTATATTTTGGCTGTTTTAGAGCTGTTACGGGTATTGACCATTGTGTGCAACATCCGGAACTGTTCGCCGTATCTTATGATCAGAACCATGATTCTCCTCTTGATCCCGTCGGAGTCGTACAAGTGTGGAGCTGTCGTTTTAAGAAGCCGACAGCTGAGTAAGTATTTTGTCGAAAATTTAGTTTCTTTTCCACCAAGTTTATTTTTTAATCATGGATTCAGTGAACGATCAAATTTCAGATATACTTTCTATTGTCAGTCACTAATTACCAGTGTAGCATTTGCGAAGTTTCATCCAAATTTGATTATGGGTGGTTGTTATTCTGGTCAGATTTGTATGTGGGACAATCGACTCAACAAGAAGACACCTGTGAATAAGGTTTTAATTTTCCTTCGAAGTTGGGAAGTAGAATAAGGAAAGTAGAAAGTAATCATATTAATGAGTTAGGCTGCTGTGCAACATTGACTTTTAATTAAGAAATTTCAAGATCATATTTCTCAGGTTTCGTCTGTTCTTTTATTGTATTTTGTGGTTAGATTTCAATATCCATTTCAGAGTCCCTTATCATCACAAGCACATACTCATCCTGTGTTAAGCATGGCTGTAGTGGGTAGCCAGAACGCACACAACTTAATCAGTATATCAACTGATGGGCGACTTTGCTCATGGAGTGTAGACAATCTAAATCAGCCAATTGATGTGATTGATTTAGCATGGAAGCAGAAGCAAGTAGGTTTTACTTTTTATGTTTGATGTAGATATATTATCGTATTTATAAATCACAATAAGTAAATTTAAGTACCATTATTCATACAGGAGTTTCGTTCTGTAGTTGCGAAAAAAATCATTATTACTAAACTTCTAAAGAGTGGTTTTTGCTTTAGGTAACATGCACATGCATGTCGTTTTGCTTAGATGATGCCAATAATTTTGTAGTAGGAAGTGAGGAAGGAAATCTTTATACGGCTGGAAGGCATGGTAATAAAGGTGGAATTAATGAGGGATATGAAAGTGAGTGCTTTTGTGTTTGTGTTTCTATTATCGTCCGATCTTAATAATCTATCAAATAGGATAGATTTTTATTTGCAGATCATATTGGACCAATAACAGGCGTTGATACACATAAAGCTTCTGGTGTTATAGATTTATCACATTTATTTTTATCATGTTCATTGGATTGGACTGTAAAATTGTGGAGCACCAAGGTGATCATCATTTTATAACAGTTCTATCTTTAGAATCAAGCCTTTTGCTGTTGAGCATTAAATTTTTTTCATCATTATGTGTCATTTATATTCTTTTTATCTTTGACTTATTTTGTTATAATCTTCAGGAATTCGTTGCATTGCAAATTCTTTCTCTATATGCTTTTGAAATCCTTTTTTTTACGTCATTTCATTTTTTCGTCATCGAGGAATCTTGATTGAAGTTTTACGATCGAATTTGCAGGAAACTCGGCCTATTTGTTCCTTCGAAAAGCATGGAAATTATGTTACAGATGTTGTTTGGTCTCCTGTTCATCCCGCTGTTTTCACATCTGCAGACGCAAGTGGAAATGTAAGGTTTTTGACAAATAGTTGAAAAAAATTAGCATAATATTGGACCATTTAAGTTTTTCCAAATTTTAAGGTATTTTTATGGAATTTGAATGAAGACACAGAAGCTCCTGTGTCACATTTGCAAATGGAAGGCAGTGTTGGAGTTCGAAAGATGAAGTGGATGCAAAATGGTAAGCTATAATTCTTTGTTTTCTGAAACAAGTCTCTCTTGAAATTAAGTTGTATTTACTGAATTATTGATTAGCTGAAAATTCCTGCAAATACTTTAAAGTTGATGCATTACAAATTGATACCTGAAAGTTCTTTTTCCACATGTATCGTTCTTTGCTGCATTATGAGTTATTGATCAATTAGTGCTTATATGATTACTTTCTAATTATATCGTTCGTTAGATTGAATAAATCCTTATAAGTATGAATGATATTAGTTTCATTTTTTTCAGTTTTATTTGTATCTGGCTGTCATTAGACTGTTATTGTGAATAATAATGATTCTCATAATAATGCTTCGAACAGCCGAAATAGATTTTGATCCATTTTTCACGCAGTAGCATTTCTAGAAGACAAGTGTTGATTGCATTTGCGGATGGATACATATTTTGTTGTTCCATCATCTACTAGATTTCTTAGCGTTTCAACCATGAGTTAAACATTAATAAGTTAAAAATAATTCAGGTCAACAACTAATTGTCGGTGATGAAAAAGGTAATTTATATGTCTATGATGTCCACGAAAGCCTGACAGATTGCAGACCAGACGAGTGGTCAAAATTATCAAGGTATTTGATTTTGCATTGTATACACATATCTGTCTTTATTAGTGTTAATTTTTAGATATTCTGTCTTGTTTTTCTCATACGAATGGTTTAATTTTTCTGTACTCAATTTTTTAAGAAGAGGCAGCTTTTCTTGTTTAGTTTTTAATCTTAATTATAATTTTTGCTCATTGGTATTTTTTTTTGCGTTAATATGTCATTTTAGTTGAAAAATTGTGGTCATTGTAGGACACTTCGTGATATCAAGCATGCTAGCGATGAAGCAGATGAATTGTTGGAAGCAATGAATGGCTACAACACAACATCAATCGGAGTCAGTTCTATGACTAATACTGCAGTGAGTGTATCTGGATTATCACCCAGACAACAGTGGTAGATATTTTAATGTTTTTCCTCATCAGCAAAATTTTTTAAATTTCAGTCGTGATTATTTTTAGAATTTCGCTTCTTATCATTTATTTAAAAATTGGTTTTTATGTGCTTAAGATGTAGCAGGAAAACATGGTTGCATAATTTAGTCTCTTATATTCATTCTTAACAATGGTGGCGTAATGAGACAGTATATATTCATAAATTTTTTTTGTTGCAATAAAATCTTTTTATTGCATTTGCTGGGATATAAATGCTTATATTTCAATCTTTATATCTTCAGATCACAATTCATTTATAATGCCTGCATTTAATAATTAGCTTTTTTTTCTCATGTAATTAATTATCCGTTAGCTTTGCGCTCCATGTCATGTCTTCTAATTTCTAAGACTGATTTGGCAATCAATGAGAACTGGGAGGCTTTGCGTACAAATTCATTGCTCTTTTAAGTCAGTAGTACTAAATAAATTTTTGCTTCAAAAGTCGAAACAATTTATATTGGTTATGGAACAGGAAATTTATCTTCAAATTTATGAGCATACTGTCTGAAATTATATTTTAAAAGTTGTCCGATTGAAAGACTTAGTTAATATCACCTTTCTAACATACTCTCCTCTGTATGTTTTTGATATAGCATATCTCTCTAATTTTGGCTCTACGTATACTATTTTTCATCTAAAGTTTGAAATCAATCTAATAATTTCTTTTCAATCTTTTTGTGTAAATAGAAATACTTGTCCGTTTTCTCTCCAGTGCGGGTACTTGCAAAAGCAGTTTCTTCTTCTTTAACTCAGACATTGGTCATAAATTGTTTCATTAGTTTAATTTGGCTTGAAATATTCGAGTTTGCCTTCTGTAGGAACCATATAATCAGCAACCGTTACTGTTGCCATCAAAGAATCTATCTGTCTGTAATTTGTTGTAAACAAATTCTGGTGCTAACTTGTGATCCAGAGCAATTTGTATCACTATTTTCTGTTACTTTTATCTCGATTACTTCTCAGCAAATACGTTATGCTGAAGAAATGTATGTTTAAGATTGCATGAGATTAAAGTCAGCCTGTTTGTACAGCTAAAGATCAGAATTTTTTCAGTTTTTTTTTAATGACAATGTTATATTTTTTTATGCACAATATATCAAAGTAAGTAATTGCTTAGCATAATTTCTTCATCCTATTATAAATATTTTCAGTGAGTGTCACTCTGTAGTTTCTTTCAAATCACTGCTGTTTGTTAAGTTTGAGTTTATAATAGAATGTAGACATAATTACTTTTCTTTATTAGCTATAATTTTATTCTTGATTTTTATCTTGCACAAGAATTTATGTAATATTTGCTGTATCATAATATACCACAGAAGCTGCACATGATTTGCAGTGTTATTCCTGTTAATATCCATCGAAATTAATGTGCTTTCAATGTTTTCTAGCTTTTATTAGATTTCACTGTGATAAGCAAGTTCCTTTCCTATATTTGTTGTATTTCATGTTTTTACTTCAGCTTCCATTTACTTTGAATTATTTACATGCTATATGATAATTGATTCACTCAGCATGTAAGTAATGTATGACATTATGATTTACTGGTACTTCTCTGTACATTTTAAAAATGACATGAAGGTGTGTGTAGTTCCAGATAGAAGAATGCATTATAGTAGGTCATTCAGATGATAGTGTTAATTCTTTTAAGATTGTGACTAGTGAATTACAAAAAATTGCTGTAATTAATTTGAAAAATAGTAATTTTCATTTTCATCATAGTAGCTTATGAAGCAAAATAAAAGAAGTCAAAGTTCTTAAATAACAAAATAAGGTCGAATATTTGAACTAAACGTCAACCAATAAGTGCTGCGTTTGCTTTGTTTCGTATCAACCGTTCCATAATATCTTTTTTTCGAATCAAGAATAAGTTGACATTTGGGACAATGTGACCTAAATTATAATTCATTTTTTAAAATCTGTTATAATTGTGGCACCAGTTTTATGCAGATAACTTCTAAAACTACTAAAAGTTTAAAAAGATGAAGTTTTTTACCATAATGCATATGACGATCCGCCATGAAATTTAAATATTTCAGACTTAATGGCATTCGTTCTGTTGGATCCGATAATGTTAGTGGGAAATCCAATTTCCCTTGCAGTATGCCACGACCAAAATTTTTGGCTAATAAACTTCCTTCAAAATCAAAAATTTCGTTGACTCCCAAAACTGGTAGATCGAGATAACCTAAAAAGAATGCATGTACAAAATTGCTCACTCTTATAATTTTTTCACTATGAAAATGGCAACTGATAGTTCGAACTTTTATTTTTTATTGCTACTTTTTGTGTTGTAATAATTAAGACTGAAAAACGTTAAAGATGAATAAAATTACTGCTTGTATTGAAGTGGTCTTAAACTCTTGTTATGTTGACGAACAAATTTCAATTATTGCTTTGCTGAAGATAAAGAGATCCGAATTAATCCGTAGTAATTGCTTACCTGTAACTTCTCTCATTTTAATGTAATCATATTCAGCTCCAACAGAAAAGCCTGTAATGAATGGTTGGTAGGATACATCGTTTTGCATGTGTTGTAAACCACTCAGTGCATCGTAATTATCCCTTATATTCAACCCTAAATTGTTCACACCCTGCAAACTAAGGATAACTTTAATAATGAATAGAATAACTTTTACTACATTCATATTGTCTGTATATCTCTTTTGCAAGTATAGTTTCTTTGCAAATTATTCTATAGCTTGGTATTGCGTTTTTAGTAAGCTGAATCCCAAAGTGCTTAATGTCAGAAAATAACCAGTAAATTTTTTTTTCAATCTCTATAATGCAGTTATAAGGGTATTTATTCAATTAATTAGTAAGAAATGCTGCCAAAGTTGAAAAAAAGCAAGCTTTTTTGGATAATAAGCAAAGCTATAGTATAAATGTTTGTTTTATGGAAGAGTGTCTAAGCATCCACTTATTCTGCACTCAACAATTTATATTTGAAGGAGCAGTCATCAAATTCATTACATGGACTCCGAAACCAGCACCCCAAGAATCAGCTAAATCCTCTGTAAAAACTGCTGATACCGCTTGTGTAAATGGATTAAAAGATGTTCTGAAATATCATTATGTAAAATATGTCAAGATCATGAATTTAATATGTTGTGAAGCCTTAAGTGAGGTAGTTTTTAAAGAATATTTAATAAAAGAACCAGAGATTCATTGAATGAAATTTTTATTAGTGAGTAGGGAAAGATTTTTGTTTAAAATGTTAAGAAAGAAGAATGTAAATAGTCATTTATGGAGCGGAAAATTTGCAAGTGTGAGGAACAAATGAAAATAAGCTTAAAACTAATATATTTTTGAATTTATTACATTTTATCTTTAAAATTAATTACAAACTTCTCACATTTTACTAATGTATAGATTCTTACAAAATTTTTTTAAAACTAAATTTACACTGCTATGAAAATTTCTTCTTGAAATGTGCAAGGTTCTAATACATGAGATTAATATACACACAAATACAGCAAAGCATAGTAACACACTTGCCACTGAACCGGGCTGACTGGCCAGGTAAATGTAAATCAGGTATAGTTTGGGGTTTATTACCAATTTTATCCCCAGCAATGTATAAGTTTGGAAAAAATGGGCCGGAGCGTTCATCAGTCATTCCTGTAGGTAACTGAAGTAAGCCAAGTCCTCGATGTTGCCATGCATCTTAAAATATTCGATAATTTCCCATTTTATCAGACGTAACAACTTAGAAAAGTAATTACCTGCTCAATATTTTGCATTTGTTAGAAGCAGATGGAGATGATAACTTAGGACCAGTATATTTTTGAATTCATTACATTTTTTCTTCGAAATTAATTGCAAATTTCTCACATTTCATTAGTGTCTAAATTCTTGCAAAATTTTTATGTAAGTAACGGGAAGCAAATATTATTTTTGAATAAGTAAATAATTTATATGAAAATGTTATACTGAAAAAGAAAATATCCAATTTTTTATTTTCGCAAGCGGATAAAAAAATATATCAAATGGGAGGGATTTTTTACCTGAAACAGGATGAGAAAGATGTAAGAAGAGAGCTAACAACTTCATCGTTACCACCATTTATTTATTATAATAATTTAGTTCTTCGGTATAAAAATACTAAAGGAAATAATTTTCTACGATATAAAACTCGAAACGCAAGAATCCAAATTAATAAGTTATAAGTTAACAGGTTAGATCGGTCAAGTTATCTAATTTGACCATATAAATAATGCTCTTCAGTACTATCAAATACCGAATCTAATCATAAATAACGGTTGATTTTACAATTCCTGCCCTAAATAGCGTACACATAAATCTTATATATTCCAAGCTGTCATTATCAGCAATGACATCTTTATCGCCGTAATTACTCACCATAGGCATTAAACATTACATACCGGGTTTAAGTCTGCCTGAATTGATTATTGAGTCAAGTTTTACCTTCAACACCCCCAATTTAGTCAACAACGACTGTCCCATGTAACATCGCTAGAAAACGAAGATACCACAGGCTATTCGGCTTTATTTTCCTTACAGTTACCTTTGCAACTGCAAAATCCAATAGAAACTTCTTTATAGTTTCTGGTTTATTAATCACGTAAATACAAAGCTGATAAAGAATGCACTCAGTTCTATATCGCTCATAAGGTGACCAAATAATGCAGTTACAAATCACAAAATTTTTCCTGAAAAAGTAAGTGTGCAGCTTTCGTATCAAATTTTGAATTTTTCGAAAATAAAAACATGACCCTTGGCAATTTATGTTTAGAGATAGTGGAATTTTTGTTATTTTACCGAATATTTACAGTAGTTACTATAGTCAATAAACAAACATAGACACTTCTTTTTTTCCATTTTAAAAAGGATGTCTAATTGGAAATATGAAGGTGCAAATATCGTGGAATATTTCTAACAATTTCAAATAGATTTGTGCAAATTTCTTCTCGTGCAAGAAATGAAACTTTTCTAAAAATTTAGGACTTCAAAATTAATTGTGCGCAGGAACTTGCGGTAAGCCAAACTCATCTACTGCAATACCTCCTTCCGTCATCTGCAATGAACATACTTACATCAGATCACATGTGAATTTGTGAATTCAAAATTCTTAATTGTTAAATTTCTCAGTTGATGAAAATCAGTTTCTCTTCTTTTGCTAGTAGTCATTTCAAAAAATGAAATTCATAACAAAAACTGATTTTAAACTACAATGATGAATAAAGTAAAAACCTAGTTTTCTCAAAATAAAACAGCTGCTCAAATCTAGTTAGCATAAATGGCAACTAAATATAACTTTATGAGATTTTTTCCATTACTACTTAGGCTCGACCTTATCTGTTATCTCGTGTCAATATATATGACAATAAAAATTTCTAAGACTTGACTTAAAAAAATATCTTTAAACTCAGCATATCTTTGAAAAATAAATGCACCAGCTACCTTGCTTGCAGCCCCTGGTTCTCTTGATGGAACACCTGGTGCATTTAGTGCTTCGTCTAAATATGAAGTATCTGTATCAGCTTCTAGTTCATTTCCTAGAGCATCCAGTTCAGCTTCCAAATCTGCCTCATCAATCTAGGGATTCAAAAGTCCATAAACGTTTGAAAGAAACTATGCAAGTATTATTACTATATTAATAGAAAATCATTAATAATAATTTAAAATAGTTATAAAGAATAAAAAATCATCAATAGTGTAAAATAATCATCAGTGATGCTACATCTGGGGTTTCATACTGGCGAGACATAGCCTCCTGAATTTCATTATTCATATCGAGCATATCTTCCATTTCATCTTGAAGTCTGTCAATTTTGTCTATATCCAATTTCTTGTACTCCTTTTGCATAGTTTTCAAGCCTTGTTTCATAGCCAATACAGTTGACTGCAATGCTGGGAAAATTTAAATAAACACTGAAAAAATTAGTTAGCGCTCATTCAATTGTGATTTCAAATAACAATTGAGAAAATTTGCATAACTCTAAAAAAAATGATCAAAAATGCTGTGCACAATGATAGGAAATACTAACCTGGGTATCCTTCATTCCTTGTATAGCAAAATTACTCTGTTCCATATTGAAAGATTGCTGACCAAGCTGATCACGCTGATTTTCATACATCCGTTTTTGTTTCAGTATTCTATAATACCCTAATCATAATAAATTAATGAATACCAAGGAACTGGATAATTCATTCAATTTCTGACAAAAACAATTTACCGTAATGCTTTCTGCTTCACCTGATTCTTGCCCGGTCCTTCACGCATTTTCCTTAGCTCATCTTTATATTTTACAAGCTCTGCATCTAATCGAGCAATTTTTTTATCTATACTTTCGGAACGTGAATCAATACTAGCAATTGCATCAGTCAAATTTGGCTCCGGCGTTTTTTTCGATGACGTACCGAAGATTCGCCTCATCACTTACCTTGAATTGAAAACTCTGAGTGAATAGCAATTCTTTAGTAAAAGGAACAACTTTAATTTAAGAACTATCAAATAAACTAAACAAAAGTCACGCGCACACGTAAAAATAAATATCAACATGAAAGCAATTTATTAGCAAAAAATGCCCAAATTAAATATTTAATGAAAACCGCAAACAGATTTATAAATGATTCTAGGAACATTTTAATCAAAAGAACTTACTTATTATAAGTTTAGTTATAGTAAATTAATCTACATGAACTGATCCTCAGATGACTATTCATAACAGCAACAAGATTTAGCATGACCCTTATGAAAAAGTTAAGGTATCAACAAATAATGTTCTGCAATTTCTGAATATAAATGCCAGTACATAAAGCATTAGCATATATCAGTAATTTTGTAAAATTCAATTGATGATAAAATCAAGCATTTTATAGCTTTTATGCAAATTACTCCAACTTTTTCTGTAATATTTAAACTAATAATTTATTACGGCCCTATTTGCAAGGACCGCACTTTTTCGGCCGCAATTTCTGTGATAAAGAGTTTCGATTACCTTAGGATTGTTGCATAATAAAGAGTACGTGAAATGGTAGCTATGTGAAGGGGATTTTTTCGCTTTCGTAAGTTACTTAAGTGGTAATATGGTCCGAAGATAACTTTTATTATCCTTTAGTACTTGTAATTGTGATTTTGTATTGATTATGCTAATGTTTAAGACCTGGTTCCTAGTGCTTTTTTCTTTAGTTCAAGTTAGCATTTTAAGCCGGAAAAATGTATATTGTCTAGTCCCAGAAAAGAAAAGTTAAGTTAGACTAGTGAACACCAACTAATTTTAAGTTTAGTTATCCATTTCATGTCAAATTAGGAAATGTAAAGAATCAGCTATCATTAGATTGGTCTGTTCGTTTATTGTCTTATCAAATTTGCAATTACCAATAAGATATGCTAATTTTTGGTATTTATCAATTGTTTAATGATTTTTCACGTAAAATTTAATGGATGCTTGCAAACATGTAAATTAATTAATTAGGCATGAATTTGTGGAAAAACTCTTGGCAACAATTTTCAGATATTGATGTCAGTGTTCTGTCTTACGTATAATTCTTAATTACTTGTGCTTCACGCTGCTTAATTTATGCGTTCATAGTTGATGTTTGCAGGAAAGCAAAGACTCATAAAGTGAAAGTAGAAAGATTAGTCTGACAAAAACGATGCAGATACTGTACATATATTTTGTTATTTAAATAATAAATGAAATAATCGTGAAATCGAGTGAAACACTTTCAATACACAAATTCTGTCTTTATATTTTAAAATTACTGTGTAAATACATCAGAAATTGCTATATTTTGCCAACTTTAATGTATGGAATGAATTTCAATCAGTGGCTACAAATTTTTAATAGCAATCAATTTTGCTAGTTTCAATTTGAGTGAAATGCATTATTTGTAGTTAGGACTACATCTAAAATATTGTAGAGAATGAAACTCATAAAATCAAACCAAGCGGGTTTCGAGTTTGCATAAGTAGCGAAGTACTGAGTTTATTTATTGCGAAATTTTCTGTTAATTCACTAGATAAAAATGCTATGGGCATATCACTAGTTCAAAATTTTAATCAAACTAAGAAATTTGTTATGGAATCATGAAATCCTGGATGATAAACTGTAGGAACTAGATTCCTACTTGTATCTTTGCATGTGCATTTAGTATTGCGCCATATCTTTCTTTTTTTTATTAAGTACCGTATTAATTTTTGTGCTTATTTTCGTATACATCATTATCTCTTGCTACTAAAATAATAATTAACTCGCTGTATCTTTCATTGGGTTTTTCTTAAGTCTTTAAATTTATGAATGGAGAAACTTTTCAGTTGTTAGCATGCCTAAAACTGATCCAAATGCCCGAATTTCTGATGATGTACTTTCAAAGAATTTGGAAAATGATCACAACCAAGAAGAGTGTAAAAGTCTAAAAGCTGCCAACAGTAATGCAGAAGATGAAGATCATCCTGATAGACATTTAGCTCAAATACCTATAGAACGGGTAAAATGTGATATATTTCATATTGATGTGATTTGAAATACGGAAAAACTTTCAAATATTTTAGGATATCTCACTTTGGTTTAACATGAAATGTATTTCTCATCATTGTCCCTTCACTTTTTTTCACTGCAGCGAAGTAATCAAAGTATTAGAATCGTTTTATCTTTCGTTTTCTAACTGAAATTTACAGCTTGCACCATCAATTGAATTGTGAAGAAAGAATTTATCGCATGAGGTTATAGGATGTTAAAAATCGAGTAAAGCTGTATGTGCTTTGCGATCAAAGAGTTTGGGATGATAAGGGCACTGGACATGTGGCATGTGTATTATCCCCAGAACATCAAGGAGCTACTTTTATTGTCGTTCGTTTGGAACACAGCGGCAAGTTTTCTGAAATTATTTTAAGTAAATTTTTATTTGCTTTTTATAATTCTGATGTTTATGGTCTCGAAAATCAATTTTCGTTCGTAGTACTGTATAAGGTTTTCTCTTGATTATTCATTAATTTCGTTAAACGTACTTCTTTAGACAAGAATATATTGGAATCAAGAATTCTCATGGATACAATATACCAGAAACAGCAAGTAGGTGTTTCATGAATAATAGCTTGATTTTTATGCACTATTTATTTAAATTTAATGCTCCAATCATGAAATGTTTATTTCAGAAATTCCTCAGAAAGTTCTCATCTTCAGTTTTATATTAATTTTAGAGATTTCTCTAGAGTTGATAGATAGTTGTTTTTTGCTTTCTGGAAACTTTTTCTAAATAATTTACGGCATATAATATTTTTAGAACTTTCACTCCCTGTGTTGGGAATGTGCTTGTTGTGTTGTAGATGTTTTCGATAGACATCAGTTTAGAAAGGCTGAATAAGTAATTGTGTATCTGATACATAAGTGGCAGAAGCATTCTGTTTGAACTTATTTTGATGGATTTAAGTGTCTTAATAACTCGAAGCTGCATGATAAACGAACAGGAAATTAAAATCGATGTTTATAGATTTTTTTTTCATTTCAGAAGGAATGTGACTTTCTTTTTTTATCATTCTTGAGTGGACCATATTCAGAATCTCATTGTGGTGCGGTATTTTTTTTTTTACTTATTGTCAATTCTGAAGCTTTTCAAGTCATTTACTTCTTAAAGTCTCTTTATAAGTATCAAATCTTTGTGGAAATATCAGAAGTTGAATAAATCAGTTTCTAATCTAGAAAAATGATGTGTGATCTGGGCGTTTAAAAAAATGTTTAATCATATCTTCGGTGTAGATGTTGGTATTTCAATAAGCGATCAGAGAGAAATAATGGCGGGTTACAGTAGCACTGAGAACTGGTTTTTCGAACAAGAATGTCCGTTAGATTAGTCCTCGTTTCTTATTGCTGTTAACAGGAAAATTTGGAAGCAAAACATATTTAGCTTCTAAATAGAAAAAATTCGAATTTATATTGGTGTTGTAGTAAATAAACAGCATAATTTCATTTTGATGATACGACGTAAGTATGAAAAAGAAAATTAAGGATTTAGATTTTTTGGTAGCTCTTAGAAGAAAAAAATGCCTCGCGTCAGCAGATTTCACTCGTTTGTTAAGAGTGCATAGTTTTGATTATGAAAATATTTTTTCTAGTTTAAAAGTTTACTCGCGATTTTTTTACTGAATTTTTCAAAGCCGACAAGCACTAAACAATGTTATAACTTCTGTTCTTGATTGAAGTTTTTTAATAACTAATTGGTGGAAAGAAATTGGGATTTAAATGTAAGGGCAGAAATTTAATGTTTGTTAGCGGTGATCTCATTACGCAGTCTACCGCACAGGATAAACCACTTATGCTTGAAAAAGAAATAGTAGTTGTGTTGCATTTGCCATTGGCTAAGAGAACAGAAGCTATTAAGGCTTTCTTATCTTTATGAAATAAAAGGTTTATGAATATGCAATTCAGAAAAGACCGTACGGCGATGGTCTAATTCTGTAATTTCTGCTTTCAGAACTCGATAAATTTTACTCTTAGTATATGATTTGTGATTCAGCCAAGAAATTTTTTTGGTGGTTATAGTATTTCAAAGAGAAATGTAGTTTGAATTGACTGTCAGTTTTTCCATAAAACTTGATAATAGAAGTTAGGCATGAATAGTAAGCAAGTAGTCTAGAACTTCTGCTTTATCAACATGACACTTTTTCATTCTTTGTCACCTTCAAAGTTTTTGTACTCTATGAAACCTGTTTCAAGTACGTGCCGCTGTTCTTGGTAGATTATACGTTTATACAAACTGTATAAGCAATAGTTTTCAATATGGTTGCACTTTTTTTACAAGTAATGCTGAGAGGTGCTTCATGGGTATGGGCATAGGAAAATTTTATGCATATCGCTTGTTTTGGTATGATTAACTTTTTTAAGCATAAATGTTAATATTATGTAAGTAAACAGGGTACTATTTGCAGTGGTTAGCGCATTCTTAACGTTAGAGTAAGCGGTTATTGGTCAGTAATGGTAACAGTTGAATGGTGATTTTCTGTGCAATTGCTTCATTGAGCTTGTGAAATTTGTTGTATCCTTCTTATTCGGAGTGTTGGTAGGAAGTGTGTGGGGACCTATTTTTCAGTTTTGTTTAAAAGATTCAACAAACAAATTACAGATTGTTATTATTCATAAGGTACATCATTGAGACTGAATAGCAAAACGCAACTTTTTTTTTAAATTGCAGGATGTCGAAAAACTTGTACAGTTATTCACTCTTCATATTCTTACTTCATACATCTTTGACTGATTACGTTGTACAGTTGTTTTTATTAGATATTATAAATAAATGCTTGCGAATATTCAAGGAAAAACAAAGCTCTTAGAGCTTTTGATCGTCGTGTAAAAGAGCAATGATTTTTTTTAAAGCAGAAAACTAAATATTGAGCTTCAGAAAAATTAATATGCACAATAGGACACAATTTTTAGCTTTTTTAACATCATATGAGTGAGGAATGTTACTGCTTCATTGAATGTTGTTATCGATTGCTTACTGTTATATATATAGTAATGAAGAACAAGAGATTAAAATCTAGGAATAAGCTGCACTTGTATTATTACTAAGAATATGAAATCAAATATTGGTGTATGCAAAAGTTTGTTTGATTGATTATTATTGTTTTTGACAAAGGATTTGCTACTACTGGAATGCTTAAACGTTTGATGCTTATGCAGGTATGTGACACACGTCAGCTTAAGCGAATGTCTCGTCATTTTAGTGTGAAAGGTTATGATGAGGGAGAACCTTTAGTAGAGTGTATGAAAAATTATTACGATGCGAAATAGTGAGGTAAAAATGTTATTGGGAGCGGGAAGGGCAAGATTGAGTTATCATTAGTAGTTCAAGGATATGTGAGGGTAGGTGATAGATAGAATAGATAGATACACTTTCATTGTATTCAATTTATCTTATTCGTACTGTTACTCATTCACGCACTCATTCACTCATTCAATTAATTCCTTAATGAAAGCAAAAGTGGGCGCGGGTAACAAGCCTGCTATTCTCAGATTGATGTAATATAAGGTATTATTATTGCGTATTCATGTTGTGCCGGGTTTTCCTTGTGCTTGTTTACATGAAAGTGACATCTTTTATTGCTAGCAGAAGTGGTAGTGGATTGCAGGAGTGTCATCAACTTGGATTCCTGTGCTTTCCTTCATTTTGCTCGGATGATGTACACATCGAGAATTGATGATGTTCGTGATTCATGCTGTCTGCTATGACTTGCTAGATTTGTGTCGTTGGGTCACGCATAGGTAATTTTCATTTTGTTGCTTCAAATTAAGAAAGCTTGGTGTTTTGCTGTTGCTTGTTGCTTGCTGCTTGCTCATTGTCGATGGCATGGAATAAGATAAAATGATGGTGTGTTAAAGCTGATGGATGATTGCATAGATGCATGCATTCAGTGGACGCATGGATAGCTGCAAGAAAGGTTTGCTTTTGTTGTGCTGAGAAGGGAAGGAATGGAAGTTGGCTGCTGCTACCTGTAGTAGTTAGTAGTAGCAGTAGGAAGATCGACGCATTTGATATCACTTGTATCTATCTACCTGCTTTTATTTGCATTGTACTTGAAATAATCATCATGTCTTGATTGTTATTGTTTATATACTAGCAAACATTATTCTGTTAATGAGTGCAAATGTAAATGAGTAGGAAGAGCAGCAGCATGTCAATGGCTTCGTCCAGTAAGAAGGACTTAACAGCTCTTCAAATGTCTTTAATTTAACACATTTGTTACGAGTGTTTTGCACTGCTCTTCTTCATTTCTCCTTTCATTTACCTTCCGTCTGTCTATGTTTACATGTGAGTGTGTTTCTGTTGTATATATATGTGCTTATGACAGTGTGTATGAGAGTGTGTGATGGGAGAACAGGTTTCTACTCGCCCAACAGTGATGCAGCAGCAGCAGCAGCAGCAGCAGCACTGGTCCGGCCAGCAGCCAAGCAGAGAGAGCCGCCGAAGAAGGAAAGAGAATGCGAAGGGAAACTGAGAATCTCATCTTTTCATTCTTCTTCCTTTTCTTTCAATTTCATTTCATTTCATTTCATTTCATTTCATTGCGTTCCGTTCCGTTCTGTTCTGTTCCGTTCCGTTCTGTTCCGTTCCGACTTAGTCTATTTCATGCCAAATATACATATATCCTATCTTAGCCAGTTCTTTTCCCTGCTTATACCAGTATTGTTGCTCATCACGGTTCATTTCAGCTCATTCGCTTACCCCACAACTATCAACTAACTAACTAACTAACTAACTAACTATTATACTACTTCTCTCTCTTATCTCCACTTTTCATCTCCCTAACCTTTTCAGTCCAAAAATCCTTTTAATTTCTTCATTGTACATTAACATTTGAGGAAGTAATTACTACGTGATGTGATGCTGCTGTTCTTGCTCTGATTTGAGTACATCTATCTCTTTGCTCTTGCTTCTACCACCAGCAGCACTTTCGACTATCTCCTCTTCTCTCTGCTTCATTGGCGCGTGTCTGCAATAGTAGTAGTACTAATGAATTAATAACATAAGTGGCCCGTTCCTCCATCCTCTTAACTTAATGCTTACTTATTACCTTTGCACTCATTATTTGCTATTTCATTTTTGTGGATTGAACTAGCAATGAACTAGCATACGTAACTTAAAAATACACTTCTCCATAAAAGTTTACTCTCTGGAGAAAATCTTTTCACACCGTATAATCTATACGCATAGACAAATGAGCGGGAATTGCTAGCAAATGTACGCACAATACTTGATGACGAATAATCTTAGCATTCATTCTCTCCTTGCTAATGATTCCAGCAAGTTCCATCTCTGAACCATTATTTATTCCCTCATTTATTTATTTATTTATTTATTTATTCATTCATTCATTCGTTCAATGATTGTATCGAGAACAAACCGTTTTTGCTCGCTCTCATTCTGTCCATAGAACCACATCACATTCATTCACACACACACATACACACATACACACAGATACACACACCCCACAGAACCTCACATTGCTCATTCTTCACATCACAGCTTACCTATCTTTATTGCAATTTTCATTCCATTTACCTTATGCACTTCTTACTACCACGATCACTATCGCTACTACAACAACTCGGTGCAACCGATTCTTGTCGTCAATATTGTAGTGCAATTTAATTTTTCTAGCTTTTTTCATACATGCAAGTAGTAATAACCAGTGTTTACTTCACCCTTCTGTTGCTTTCTCATAAAATCACGTTGAATGTGATTAAACCATTAGTTTATTATCTTAAGCTATAAATTATTATATTGCTATGCAGTGCCGTGACCGTTGACCATATAGTAATTTTCTTCACCATCGACGATATATTCTCCCGTTTGCACAGTGCCTTTCATTTATATTATTTGCATTTGCATACTTTTATTTCATTGATGAACATATATCACTTTTTACGGTTTTCCATATATGCCTCCACTACAATCAACTCAGATCAGCATATGATGAGTGTAAAAGCTATTGAGAGCGAAAGTAGGAGTGAAGATGTCCAGGAAATTTATGCACAGCCAATAGTTCTCCATATATTTTTTTGCTTTTTTGAAATGTGTTGTTAAAGTCATATGTAAGTCAGATAAAATTTACTGCTAAACATTGTTTTAGTACTTAAGCGTTTGTGAGAGGAAACATTTGCATCCTTTGAACAGCTATTAATAAATCTTGATGTATACAAAGTTGTATACGTACGATGCATTTTATGTCATTTCGTGTTGCAGATTTTATTTCCAATATTAGAAATATTTTAGAGAAATAATAATTATATGCAAACGAGAATTATCGTGCACTTTTACTGTGGGCATAATCATCATCAGTAGTAGTTGTCTGCTGTTGTCAACTTTGAAACAACAACTCGTTTTCTTCTACACCGCACTACTCATACTCCCATATACACATTCAAGGGATTGATTCATTTTACTCCTTATACTATCATCAATCTATCTATCAATCGTAAACTGAACTTTCGTGTTTAATGGCTACACAGAAACTCATTTGTCAGAATGTTTCGTTCGACGACACTTTTTCTAATGTACTGCATTTATCTACTTTATAGTATGTTATTGACCTAATGTTCTTGAACGGGTGTGAAATCATCTGAACTGCTAGGTTTGGTCAGATATTGTCAGTTTTATTAGTAGTTTTAGATCTTCCAGTTCTGTTGAATTAATTCTCAGTACCTAAGAAAGAGTGTTTTTGCAGCAGATCAACATGTCGCATGTGGATGTATACTTTAAAATATGCACAAATTCATAAATTGTTCATTAGCTGTTTTTTAATTTGGTCTCTGCATTCATATTCCGATAGGATTTCTTTTGATTCTAGTAGCTTAAAAAATTTTTTAGATTTTGGTAAACCTGAAGGATTGTTATTTGGTTTCCAAGTAACTGATCCAGATATTGAAAAACAATTTATTTGGTTGTTCAGCATTATTTCGCCATGAATTGATTTGCTACGTTTTTTTTCTGTGATTGAGTCTGTCCGTAGTAACAAGGAAATACAAAAAAGTTCATTTTGATGAATTTATGTATACTACTTGATGTAATGATATGAGTTTTCGTATTGCTGAGCAGAAAATTTGAAAAATTGGTGAAAAAAGTGCTTAGAAAATTGTAAAGTTCTTGTATCTGACATTTAACCAGTCTTTTTAAAAAAAATGAATGCTTTGTAACTGGTACATTGAGAAGAAAAGTCTCTTTTTAGGAAACCTTAATAGTTTGGTCTGAATCGGATACTTGTGATTTAGCTTTATCATTTCAAGATAAAACGGGCTGCGAAGATATTTGGGGAAAAATTTGCCAAGTACAAGGTCGTGATCCTGAGCAGCATCCTGTAAGTAATAACTATGCAACCATTTTTGCTTGTTGCCTTTTAGAATATATGTTAATCTAATTTACTGATGTTGTGATATTTTCATGAGATAATTCTATAAGGCAGTATGTTACAGGACTTCACCGGGAACTACGAAGATTTGGATGATTCGGATAGTCTAGATAGTGCTGGACAAGGATACAGTGGACAACGAGTTAATAAGTTTCAAATTTGATATACTAAGTTTCAATTTTCGTTTTAAAAAATTGGTTGAAATAAAAATGAGGTAGATAAGTTGTCTGTTAACAAAGCATCTGGAGACTTTTCGCAAGTAAGCTATCTCTAACAATTTTTCGCCAGACTGATATTTGTGTCTTATTTGTAAGAACAAGATTGTTCAATGAATTTATTATTTATTATTCTATCATATTTGTGAATCAATGCCTTCATTGTTGTGTTTGTTTAGCACCATTTTTTCCAGCCATCGAGCGGAGCATCGGTAACTTTACCACCTTGTGAAGTGAATTCGTTGGCAGATATCGAAATAATGATAACAAATAGCTTTGGTTCAGCAGCTCTTCGAGAGAAACTAGCAATTGCTATTGAAAATCAAGGGTGTGTTTTTGAATTTATGCAGATCGAACCGCCAATTATTAGTTTACATAGTTTTGCTTGCGATAGAAATTTTAGAAAAAAAATTTTGTTACAGATATGTAGCCAAACTTTGCGATATTTTTCATATGTGTGAAGATTTGGAGCACATTGACGCTCTCCATACACTACATCAAATTGCTCGTAATTTATTTATGCTGAATCGTAACACCTTGTTGGAAATTTTGCTCAGTGAGAAGTATTTCAAGTAAGTTAATATTGTTCCATATCACACAGAAATTGGTGATGAAGTTGTGGACATACAAGCTAATCTTATGCCACAATTTTTTCATTAATTTCTCTCTTGATGCGCAACGAATGATTTTTAATTCTCGTGACCTGTTGGCATCTTGAAGCATGATTTACCTATATTTCAAAGTTATATTCAAACGCTCCTGTTTGCTGCAAAAATATTTCTTCAAACAGAGACAAAAGAATTCTGTTTGGAACTTTCAGAGATATTGTTGGAATGTTAGAATATGATCCGGCTGAATCTAAACCTCGAAAACATCGTGAATTTTTATTCGAAAAAGCAAAATTTCGAGAAGTTTTATCCATCCATAATAATGATTTGCGTCAAAAAATACATCAGACTTATAGAGTCCAATATGTTCAAGTATGAAACTTCTAGTAGTTATTTTACAAGTACTAAAGTTTTCGAAAAGTAACGGAAACAAATCACTCCTAAAAATTTTGACTTTTTTTTTCAGGATATTTGCTTACCTGCACCATCGTTGTTCGAAGAAAATTTGCTTTCGGTTTTGAATAGCTATTTATTTTTTAACCGAGTAGATATTGTGAGTTTACTACAGGTAATGTTTTTTCGTAATGCAGAAACATTATAAATGAATGCAGAATCAGTAGTCAAATTCAGACCTTAATCACTGCGGTAATTTTTGCACCGTGTTTTTTCTAAGGTAATGCGTAGGCGGTATTTAAATTAAATTAACATTATTGGTTGCATTTTATTTGGCATCATAATATTCCTGGTTACAGGAAGACAAACAACTATTGAAAGAATTGTTTGATCAGCTGAAAGATCCTGCGACAACTACTGAGCGACGCAAGGATTTAGCTATGTTTTTGAAAGAATTTTGCTCTTTCTCGACATCTTTGCAACCAAATGGGCCACAAGGACGCGAAAATTTTTATAAGGTATTAAAATCACTGTGCATTACAAGTTTATTGGCTTTTTTAAATCAGTTATTTGTATAAAATTAAGGAATTAGACGAACTTGTTGATTATGAGTAATTCATTAAATTTTCAAAATGTGATGCAAAACGGACTATTTTGTATTTATCTAAAACACATTGGATGACGAGTAAATTCTTTTTGAATGTGAGTAGAGAGCTTCTGCAGTTATTCATTAAATATGCACATTATTAAACGATATTTTTTGAGAAAATCTTATGAGTGGTATTTCAATATTGTAATCGCTTAATTTTTTGATAAATATGATTTGGCTACACTATGGTCGACTCAAATTTCAGACATTAATGCAAAATGACGTGCTATCAGCGATAGAACCATGTATAACAAGTAATGATAGTCAGACAAGATCAACAACTGTCGAAATGTTTGTGATGATTGTTGAATTCAATCCACAAGCTGCTCGGGATTATCTTCTTCAGCAAGCGCGAGGGTTTGGAGAAGCTAAAAATGTTAGTTTACTCTATTTATTTACAGTCGTATATGTTCTGTTGTTGTTATTTGCTTACACAGTACATTTGGTACTCTTCATTTGGATTATCATGTTTTTTTATGGTGAATGTTGATCCTTTAAAGACTAAGTTCATGTGTTTGGAATTCTTGTAAATTTTTCACAGTATTCAAGTTTCTGTTGAACCGTAAAAATTGGCTCTGAACTCATATTTACTGCTAGGAAAATTTTCATTTATTTATCAAGGAAATATTGTTAACTTATTTCTGCCGTCCAGTTCCCATTTCTGTTCCACTTTTATCTAATTCTTTTGCTTGTGTGAGAACAAAAAATGAGTAATTGTCTTGAACCGGTTTCTGGAATATAGGATCAGCTGCTACTAAACAAGTTGATCAACCATATGTTAACGGATCGTGATCCAGAGTTAACTTCTGCCTATACGATGGTTAAAGTAATGCAGTCGTTGTTAGATCCTGATAGTATGATTTCAACACCAAATATGAAATCGGAAAGACATGAGTTTCTCACTTTCTTTTATCGACGTTCTTTGGAAACTTTGTGTCGACCGTTGTATGTAAATACGGAAAATGGTGTATTAAGGAAAGGTGAGGTATTCGAAATATGAAATTATTTCAAGAATACTAAACGTTGAATTTTATGTTAAGCATTTTTGTACTTATTTTTTTATCAAATAATGTTTGGAAGTGAACAGTTTATGCAGGTGTTTGATGTCTTAAATTTGTTACTTCACTGTACAAAATTTAATGTATGAAATACATTAAATGTTGTAATTGAACTCAGTTTGCTATCACTCTTATCTATTTTAGAACCAGTAATTTCTGGTAGTTAGCTAATTTTATCTTATATACTCATTATTTTCATGCATCAAAAGAAGTAAATTCTCAGCTTTATGTGAATTACAGACAGTTACCACTGTGCCAATCAGCAAGCTATGATCATTGATATTTTATCTTTTTGCTTTGAACATCATGCGGTTCATATGCGTAATTATTGCATCAACAACAAATTGCTGAATCGCGTCCTTGTCCTTTTAAAAAGCAAACATCATTTCCTTGCTCTGAGTAGGATCAGTTTTTTTCACAGTATATCCGTATCTTTTTAATTAATTTAAATGACTAATTTTTTTCAAAAAATACGCTGCCATTTTTTAAAATATATCACTTCAAATTATTGATCTCCTCTTAAAGTTTAGCTTTAGGAAATTAGATTTAATTGATCTCTAGGTGCGTTGCGATTATTCCGGCGTATTGTGCAGTTAAAGGATGAATTTTACTATCGATACACAATAAGAGATAATGTTATGCGACCAATAGTTGAATGCTTTAAAAGGAATGGTCATCGATACAATCTATTAAATTCTGCAGTTATTGAGCTTTTTGAGTTTATTAGAATGGTGAGTTTCTTCTCATTATTTTGAAACTTTTTATGACATTCAGAATTTGTTAAGTTTTAACAGGATTATCATGTTAGAAATAGTAACCGTTATCATTACTTCAGGAGGACATCAAACCATTAGTTGTTTATGTAGTGGAAAATTTTGCTAGTGATTTTGAAGATGTTAATTACGTTACAACTTTCAAATCACTACGCTTGAAGTATGATCAGGTAAAGAAACATTTTCTGCAACATATCATTTGAAGTGTTTACACACGTAACGTAGTTAAATAAAAAATGTGACAGCAATAAACAAATTTAATTTTTCGTTTTCTTTTTTTTCTGCTTTTGGAACCCGCGTAAAGTGTGGTAGGTAATATCAGAGTTAATCTTTTTCCATAAGCTTCTAAGATTTATAAAACGGATTTTTTTCTACTGATTTTCCATTCTAGATGAAAGATCGCGAAAACCGAAAAGTAGAAGGTTCATCTTCATCTGAATCTGTACAATCAGCAGAAGCTAGTATGCCAGCTCAGTGGAAAACAGAACTTCAAGCTGATGCTGATGAACAGTGGTTCAATGATGATGATACTGAGGTTATTTTCAAACTTTATGATATTCTTGAATGCTTTTATTGTTGGGTTTTAACTGATAAGCTTTTCAGAGCTCATCACCAACAGGAGATTGGGATCTAAACAAACAGAGTAGAGAATCAGAAACTAATTCAGTGCCTCATTCGGCTTTGCTTGATGTGTCTCCTTCTTCATCTGCAACCTCAATTGCTAAAGAAGATGAATCTTTAGAGAAAAGTTTGGCGACGAGAAAATTAGACATTGACCCTATCTTACCCAGTTTATTAAAGCGCACAGGTAAGTGTTTTGAACAAGGGATCAATCTCAAAAGTTTAAAAATCATTTTTGCTTTGTCAGTGAACTTTCGCTCAAATTCATAGTACTATTTTCAGTAGAGGATGAATCGGATGCTGTTTTTCCTTCTCAGATTAATACTCCACTGAAAACTCATATTGCACCTCGGATAATTATAAAGGTTTTCTTATTTTAAGAAATATTATGGAGTACATGTATTTATGATGAATAATTTTTCGCTTTTCCACAGACGATCACTTTGTTGTATTTTTATTGAAAATTTTGAAATCTTTGAATATCTCTTTCGGATGTTTGACAAAAATTTTTGCAATTATTATAGTCACTAACAAATTCTTAAAATTTTTGAAAATAATGATGAATTTTGGAAAAATTATAAGCTATGAAGCTTGTCATCTTCTACAGTAAATGAAGCAGTCGGCGTTATCATTTCTGTTAGAAACTTTGCTGCAAGTATTCGTACTATTGTTAGTAAAGCATAAAATATCGATAATGGTGCACTTTTTCTTTTCATTTTTGTTATCATATGTAATTTGATTTTTCTACTGTGCTCTAAGCTACAGAATCAGTTTCTTGCTGCATTTAGTCATTTACTTATGAAGTAAAGTTCAGTACATTATTAATTCGATTGGTTACAATTTAGGTCAATACTGATAAGCAAAGTTCTCTTTTATCAGCATCGCCTCAACCTGCCTGCAATTCACCGCCAGGCGATCCAGTTGTTTCATCCACTGAGACTTCCTTTACTCCTTCTAGCTCAATTCTTCCTCGTCTTTCATCGTCTGACAATATCACTGTGATTGCCAAGAAAGTTGGTGTTTGGTAGTTCATTAATTAATATTTCTGCAATTAATTTTCGTATGTAAACACTAAAATGCTAAAAAGTAGATGTTGGAGAATAGCATATACTTATCATAGAATATTGTATTTCAGCCTTTGGTAGAATATGACGAAAGTGATAGTGATGAAGAAGATGAAGGCTCAGATTTGCAATCAACCGGAGATTCACTTCCATCAAGTTCAAGTTCAGTTGGCCAGTCAACTTCAAATTTGAGTAGTAGTCAGTCGTCAAGTGATGACCAAGATGACGTTAGTAGCACGTCCGGTGATCACGAACCGTTTCCGGCTTCTGTTGACGACATGAATAACGATGAGGCTAGTATCACATTTCATATGATTGAGACAAAAGTTTTAACCTACTTATTTACAGTTGAAGTTGCCAGTATCTTTTGTCATCGAAAGTTTGGCTGATTAATGTAATTGTTAATTCAAGATTATCTATGTTTGGGATTTCAGTTTGATAAATATATCATCATCAACATACTTACTTTGTTATTATTTTTTTTGTTGACAACAAATAATGTAAAGATTTAAATTTTCACTTTTAGGAGCAAAATGATGAAAATTTATCTCGAAAGAGATCTTCAGAATCGTTCTTGAAAAATGAAAAACCAAAACAAATTACTAAAGGCGATGGTGTCATTGGTGTTGTTGAAGATGAGACCTCTTCGAAAAGATTAAGGTCAATATAATCAGTGTCTGTGAAACAGTGAAGAACTGAATGCATAAAATTTGCTTGTTAATTACCATATTTGTTTCACTGCTATCAAATTTTATCTGCAATGGGGAAATTGATTATAGGCCTCAAGTCTTCATTTTAGCATCTTGCGTAATTCATATGCGCAGTTTTTCTATTTTTTGTAGGTGAAATTTCTTACTATATTTCTATGTAGTTTTTACAGGTTGGAAGGCAAAGAAGAATTTAGATCGAAAGTAGTGACGGCGTATGAAGAACCAGCACTAAAGTGATTATGGGCTAACATTGCTTTACTAGATTAGAGGTTGTGTATTACTTGGTTGTGAGCTGGAAGGTTTCGCAGAGTTATAAAATTCTGGACTTTCGATGCAAGTGCACAGTTTACGACTTTTCGTGCCTGCGAGCTCAAATGAATGAAATCTACAAGGCATTTGTCTTTTATTCTGAGAGTAAATGCAGTAAAAGATCCGAACGCTTAGTTGTTGCTGTTCTTTGACGGGATGTTGCATCTATGACCAGTTGATCTCATGTGACATGCGCTGAGATTTTTTTTATTTCAATGTTCTCTTGTTAATGCTGTTGTGACTAAAATCTGAAAAGGAGTTCACTACATGAGAAGTAAAAAATGAGAAACTGGATTTAGATATTGATTCCCCTGTATCATGCGTTTCTCCTTGAGTATCCTCAGTTTTTCAAAATAAACTCACTAAAATTTCGTTGTTATTCAAACTTTATTATTCTCTGACTGTTCATCATTGATCCGTTTACTGTTTTTGTCTTATCTCTTCTTAGGGCTTCGCAGACACTGATTTTAAAAATTGTTCTGCTTAATATACGTCATATTGCCTTACCATAGTTCAAAATTCAAAGTTTTCAGGAAGTCGTCTTGATATAATATTGGTTTTTAGTTTATTTTATTATTGGGATCACTTGGTTTTTAAATTTAAACTTGTTCAAATGGTATGTTTTATAATTTTCTTTGCACTCAAATTGAGTCTACAGCTTGACTTTTTGGCACTATATTTATTCATACTTTAATTCTAAGATATTTTATTTCTGGAAAATAAGTATCGAAGAATATCCCTTCTAGTTAAATTTCATTGCTTTATTGTAGTATTATTATTGAATCAAGGGTGTGCAATAATATCTTTTATTTGAAGTCATTGCAACGAAAGAATATTTCTTGAAAGTAAATCTTCACATGCTTTTGACGAAAAAGAGATATATTATTCAGTTAATTATACTAACAATTGAGATGCAGTCACGTTGAAGAATAATGTAATCAATCTTTTGTACTCGGTTATTTATTTGCTGTGAGTATATTACATAGAAATCATTTCTTTTAATTGATAAAAAGTGCAATTTTTTGAGTTGGAAAAAGATGTCCTGTTGATGGGAAGATTCGCAACAAGATAGAATGCGGTTTGTGCTATTTGCGTAAAGTTTTGAGAGCGATGTGCAAAAGTTATTCAATTATACTAGAAGAAGCTGAATGTTTTTTACGGTAGTAGAGGACGCCATTTGAAACTGTTCACTTGATGATGGGATGAATTTCACTTTGAGATAATTATCAGTCAACGAAGTTTTATTCATTTACAAGTGAGATTACATCTATAATTATTATGATGAACAGTTACAGATATCAACACTTCGTTACATGTTGAGATGTGGTAGTGTATGTTGATTTTACAGCCTCTAGTTTCATCGGTTTTTGAAAATATCTGGATCTTTGTTGCGTTATTAAGCATTTATTAGTACTAGCAATAAATTGAAATAAATGTATTATCTACAGGAAACGTAGGCTAGTATCAGTTCAGTTTTCAGTATTTTACAAATGATGTAAAGTAGATAACTGAGATGAGCACTCGTGTTGCAAGCACAAATATATAATTTCTCGAATAAAATAAATTACTGGCATTAGTTTCGCTTCTGAAGCAAATATCCAATTAGTCAACTGTTTGTCAATTTGCAGATATAGGTAGAGCTAATATGAAGTAATAATGGGACTACGGTTGCCAAGCAAGTGCATACTGACCATCCTTCTCAACTTTGCATGATTTTCCTTCCTGTTGGAAAGCAAACGCAAAATGTCAGTAGAAATATTTTCTTGAAAAATATTATTAAGAAGGTATTTTTCTGAGATTTATGATGTAGATATTTAAAAGTACCTTGAAATGACTTTTGTAAGCAAAATCATCTAGTGCAACGACGGTTTCAAACTTTCCACCTAACGTTTTCTCAGCACTTTTTTGTATAGAATCAGCCATATATAATAGGTCTTTTCCTTGCATCACATTCTTCATAACTGCTTCCAATTCTTTATTACAGCAGGTGTAACCTAAATTTTAGTTATTCAAGACAGCTATTAATTATTTGAAAGAAATTAGATATATTTGTTGAAAATAGTTTGATTTTTTGGCTTATCTTTAATGGACTTAATTCATCCTCACTGCAATATTATAATTAATTTGTTTGTTCAAAAAATCTGGTCACTAAGCTGGTATTATTAGCTTCTTCAAGGATTTGGTTTCTCAAATTTATGTTGACAGACTTGACTAAGGTAATTTGGAATTAAGTCGTATAATAGGTATAGTTACTTTGTAATTACTTTTGTAATCATTAAAAAAAAATTGGTATTTCTGGAGAAACCTCTTCTATAGAGAAAGCTTTCTTTAAAAAAATACCGCGAATATGATTAGTATATTTAAAGAGGAATCTTTAGCTTCTTAATTTGTTGAAGTTTGCCATACTAATATATAGCTTATTTGATTCAGGTTTTCTGATGGACTGAAGTGATTGTAAGTAATTGTATAATTTCAGTTACTGGAAGTAAGCAGCCTATTTTTTCATTACTGTTTGTTGAAAATTACAAAAGACAGTTCGTGGTATTTTAAGTAATTAAAATGTAGAATAGAATGACAACTTAGTGATTCAGTTTGCAACTTACAAGTTTCCTGTGATTAACCGTTTTGGACACAGATAAAATGGAAAAAACAATTTGAAAATAAAGTAAGAAAAAGAGAATTTATAGGAGTTATTTACCACTTTCACTAATGTAACAGTTATCACTGGCAGCATTGGTATGAGACACAAGGGTTATAAAGGTTAAAATTATAGCATAAATCAAAAACATCCTGCATCGACACATTGTAATATAAGTGTATGAGATCAGGTTCAGCACAAATTATTTCTGAAAATAATTGATAAAATTGAATTACATTTCTCATGAACTGAAAAGAATGATTAGAAATGAGTTCACATTTTTGAATTTTTGAGGACTACTCTTTAAATAATAGAAATCAAATGTCTGATTATTCCTGATTAGGCAATGTATATATTCTCAAATTGAAAATATGAATGAGTCAAAATAACTTCCGGTGAGGAATTTTTTTCTACTAAAAATTTTTCATTGTTATCAGTACGATATTGTGCTGAGGACTGAAATGATTACGAAAAAGAGTTTAGAAACGATTTATAAATTAAAAACTATTCCATAAATGTAGGATGGTTTGTAATTTGACAGATTTATGCATAGGTAATATAGAACGATGGGTAACGATTGAGATCGGAAAATAACTTTGACGTTTGATTACAGTTTTTTACATTCTTTGATTGGTTTTTGTGAATAGAAAACTGATATTTGCAAGAAATAAAAGCGGAAATTGTCTATTTTAACTGAAAAATAAAAAAGTAAACAATTTTTTTAAGAAAATAAAGAAGAGCTTTGTTACACATCGTTTACTCAGCCATTTTTTCAGCTTTTTCTTCTATATGCCATGCCTAAAAGGCAATCAATTTTATAACTTATGAATATAGTTTACATGCATGAACATAGAAGCGAATATACACATCATATTTGTGTATAATAATAACAGTTGAGAAAAATGAAAATGTATGCAAAGAATTGTATTGCTGTAAGTTTTTCGCGCAAATTTTATTTCTTTGATCAGTGATCAAAGAATTTGATTGTGTTGTAAATAATGGCAATTTTATTTTAATTGTCATAAAATTTGGGTTATCTTTCAATCGTATCTGATAACAACTGATCGGTATTTCTATAATTGTCTTGTCTGATTAATTATAGAAATGGATACTGAAATATAAAATTCATTGTTTTTTCTCAGGTCTTATTAATTAGACGAGTTTAATTTAATAAAATAATCTTAAGCCAGATCAGTTGGTTAGTTTCTAAGTAATGCAGCAGGTTGTATTTGTATATTACTGCATTTCGTTTATTGGCCCACTTTCTAAATTGAAGTAAAATCTACTTGAGCTATATTTATTACATAATTTGATCTGATTTGAAAATTATTTTTCCATATTTATTATGCAATTATTTTCTGAAAAGCTATCTATTTTTCAAAACAGTTTTTACTTGGCTCAATTAGTATCTTTTCTTATCGATCTAATTTGCTTTATATTTGATCCTTCTAATTTAGTTCAAGCCTCATCACTTAAGCTATACTAAACTCATCACTCATTGCATTCGCATTTAAATCGCTATTTTCAATGTAACTTAATTGTTTTCGCTTATTTCGATCTCATTTATTTTACTGATACTCGTATATTTACTTTAATTTTAAATATTTTAAAAAAAGACAAATTTTTGCTCTTTTTGCTAAAATATTTTCAAATGAACTTTTGAAAAAAAAAATTGACCGATAGTCACACTAAATATAATTAAAATGGAACAAAATATTGAGAAGAAAAGTCAAAAATCATTATATTTATCAAAAGTTATCACTTTTTGAGTTTGAAAACACTGACAAATCTTAACACCATTTTTAGCAATAATTCTAAACTGAATAATAAACTCTAAACTGCACTTTGTCTTGTAGAATTGATTTGTAGACAAAAATATATTAATAATTCATATAAAATTATTGTTAATATTGCTTTTATAGTGAGCGAACTAATTTGATTATTCAAAATAATAATTGTTATCAATAATAAAAATGATAATATTATAATAAACTGCATAAAAGTTGAAAATAAAACCACAAATAATAAGAATGTTTTAAAACTTGCATTTTTAATGAATTGCATGCTTAAAAACTGTATGCATTCTATTCTTCCACAAAGTATTCTATGAATGTATGAAATTTTTTATAAATGTCGGTCATAAAAAATACACGAAAAGTCTGTTCATATGAAAAAATTTCTTTTATTTAAATTTAAAAACAAATTTTTTAAAGTTACCAAAAATTTTGGTTTTTTTAATTTATTTTTTTGCATAAAATAAATTAAAAGTTTATGAATACATAAATATATTGATAACATATCATAAATTTTCATTACAGATTTACACACAGTAAATAACTATTGCTTACCTAAAGATTTACTCTCGTGTACCTGTACAGTATTGCACTGTATCAACTGTTCTTGGTAGCATACTTATACAGTAACATACGGTACCACTTGGCCTTATAAAGTACTATTGTGATAAAAAATACAGCCTAAATAATTATCGAAATTAAAAACTTAAATAGGAAAAAGAGTACATTAACATTCTATAGGATCAGATAAATATACCAAATATACTAAAAAAACTATTCCTTGAAAAGATGATTAAAAACTAACAAAATTTGTGCTTATATTCAAATAAAGTTTTATCAGAATTCATGATAAGATAAAGTCTTACTCCGATCACAGAACACAAAATTTGTCTTTCAAAATTTACAAAAGTAAAGATAAGCAAAAATTAGTAAAGGCCGGATTTTTGTATAAAAAAGAATAAAGATTTTATTTACAGTTATTGAGGCATATATTTTGCTTTACAGAAAGAAAACGCAATCTGAAATCGACAAGAGTCAAATGAAATAATGCGTAAGAGTCTTTCTGATTTAAAGATTCCTAAAATTAGGAATACAAATTTATTATCCTTTCTAACGGGTAAATTTAGTAATTATTGTTCACAATACTCCAAGTGTAAAAAATTTATCCAAAAATAGCCTAAAGGCAAATAGAGTAACATTTTCCAGTAGAGTAACTGACTATTTGACTAAAAATTGAGTCAAAAATCTTTTCTTTTTTACATTACTGTAATTAGTGAGAAAAATAATGCAAAGAAATAGATATTTTTCATCGAAATGAAAAATTATCTACTAATTATTTTTATTCAATAAATGATACTAAAATATTGAACTTGAATTACTTTTATCCACTACTGTAGATCTTATTGAATGATAAATATGCATTCATCCTTATTAATTACAAATCATAATCATTATATACTATTATCACAATTGCTACCAAATACAAATTATTTTCACATAATTTTACTATTTTTCACCAAATAACAATAATTACTTAAATTTGAAGTTATGTTAATTCCACAATTGTATAATTAGACAAATACATGACTATTGACTATATGCATTTCCTTTTCTCTCCCATTACATTTGCATGATGTAGTATATATGCTAAAAGTGAGTAGCATAATTTGCATTAAGTTACTCGCTCAGACATTTATATATGTAATTTGCTTATTTGAGTTATTAACATTCTGTAGAAGTGTAAACTAACCAATTCAAGAATTTCATTCTTTCCAAAATATAGCTTCAAGTGTAATAATATATTTACCTCATTAATTTTTATGTGAAAATTAAGTAATGTTTATAGTTGACTTGCTCAGCCATACTGAAATTACTTTTTTTTAATATACAAAAAATGAGACTAATCAGCTATTTTTATCAAATACTGAAATATAAAACTGTGTGTTTTATAATTCTAATTCTTCTGAATCAGAATAATCTTATTCCTAATAACATCAACCTAAAAACATTAATGAAAACAAAGTACTATTCTTTCAGCCAACAACTTTTTCACAAAACTTCATCTACATTCCTGTTATATAAGTGGAAATTTCAAATCATCTACAAAACTAATTAGAGGATTATTGAAGATCACGTGATTCCCACTTCAAGCATTAAACAAATTTTCAAAAATCCAGATGTTTTCATCTTCGAAATAAAATTACAAAACATACATCTAAGACTCTGCACAACATCCAAGATACTCATCCCTTACAACCTAAACTGTTAAAATCATTAAAGACTGCGTCACTCGCCAGACTTGTGTTCTCTTTATGAAATTACGGAGCTGATTTCACCAACTTCGCAGATTTTTGGATAATAAAAATAGATATTGCACAAATTTTATTAAGTACAAATACATATGTTTCACCACTGTACCATTATTATATAATTTTGAACATGGTAATAACCACCTCCTAACATATATCTTACATTTACGTTTCTAATGAAGAGTTGCATTAAAGCGCGTTTTTCAATTTGTTGGCACAACATGGCATATATACATATACAAAACAATTCAAAAATTAGTAACTATAAATACTACACATATAGCACTTTTCAATATATTCATATACATGAACGACAATTTTTACATATGAAAGCAACAAAAAACAGCTTAATACAAAAAAGAGTAAGAGCGTAAATCAGGCTTAAATGATTCATGATAACTTTCGAAGTTTGAAACACAAAAGGTGCTACTATCGCTTTCAAAGTGATTAACTAAAGCTTCATTTGAATTTGAATTGAAAGATTGACCAGATGGCAAAATATGCTTAACAATTAACTTTGTTGACAAAAACTATTCAATGATTATGATATCAGTATCAACAATATCCAGCGCTGTTTCAGCGTCATCTAATAACTTTTCAAGCGCGTCACAAATTCGATAAAAATCCCCCAAAGATTTCTCTTTGATTTTATACAATCTGGTAGCAACATGTTCTCCTACAAAAAACAATAATATCCAAAATTTAATGTATGAATTAATTTGCAAGTTATAAAAATATGATGCAACTAATATGATACATCTAATATTTTTGAAGTTAATTAATGAATATACAACACATTAAATTAAACTTGTGCAATAATGGCCAATGGCCTGCAAACATTCACAGTTAAAACAAAAACTTCCCATATTCAATACACAAATAAGATATGGATCCGTGCAAATTTCAATATCAATGTAATTAAATATAAAATAACAAAAGTAATTAGGTAACCAAAGTAATTACCAAAAACAAGCGAAGAACCGACACCATTTATCGGTTGTCTTCTTACAGACTGTCCATCAACACCATTATGCTGCTTATTTACCTCCTGAGAGATTGGTGATTTTGATGGAATATTAGAGTGACATTTAGATAATTCTGAAGTACTGCTGAATTCAGGTAAACAAATATCTTTCTGTTGTGTACCATTTGGATGAAAAGACAATGCACTTTTGACTACTTCTTGACATCCATCGGTTTCTGAATACGTTCCATTAGTTTCATTTGTTTCTGTTAAAGTAGAAACCATTTCTGTCCGAGTAGCTGCTCTCGTGCGATCATAAGAAATTTTATTCCCCATACGAGTTCCAATGAAAGTGCCATTTGCGACAGGAGATGCTGATGACTGCGTTACATTTGAATCACGTAAAGCTTCACGTCTAGCTCGTATACGTGCTCTAGAACATTCGTACATTGCTGGAAGGTGACAAATGCTAATGCGAAATTATAATTAATTTTAAAAAAAATAGAGAAACAACAAACTTTTCAGATTCCTTTGTTCTTGTTGCTGTACATCTCGCATATTTTGTTTTCGCTCTTAAAGAAACAGCATTATTGGCATACGATGATCCATAATTAGCAGATATTTGCAGCTAAAAGTAGCATACTGTGCTTATATTGAGCATTTCAGTGCCAGCATATCGGGATTAAAACAAAAATGGGTTTAAATAAAATATATACTAACCATAGTTTCATCATCCACAGCAACGAGAGACTCACTTGTACGAGGGATCTGAAAAATTGTTGTAGTGAGTAATGATTTGCGTCAGATTTCTCAAAAAAGTTAGATAATGCAATATTCATATATATAAGCATTATAAATAATACATTCCATAACTTACACTTAAACTTAAATACAAAATATTATTGGTTTTCCACCATGAATATCTAAATCAAATCATATTTTGTGACATTTTATGAAAACTTGTACTATGAGAAATGAGAAACTTTTGACGGCTCCATCCAATTGTATCTTCTTTTTACAGGCGGTTTATCTTGCCGAGTAAAATGCATCAAACTAAAGAACTGCCACTTCGAATCTGGTGGTTCAACACCAGCAGCAGCGGCTCGATCATGTCTTCGCCGTATTTGGTTGTAGTAATCCATCATATTTTTCCAAGCCACTTTGATCATGTCACCTAAAATCGAAGCAAAAAAAGACTTGAAAATAAAATGACATTTTTTACTCCATTTTGCATTCAAAAAGTCATCCAAAGAATGCTATATGAGGAAGCGGAATGAAAAAAATCATTATGCAGAGTAGATGAAAATTTCGATAACTTCTTAAACCTATCAATTTGGCCAAAATTATGCCACTTCATTAAAATAATTTTGATAAAGTGACAGTACGTATCACTATCAAAAATTCACATATGCACAAATCAAGAAGTAATAAAATATTAATTGTGAAAATATAGAATATAACAATAGCGAGTCATATAATTACATCACGTCTTCTGTATGTATTCCCAATACGTAAAAAAAAGAACAAAGTGTGAAATCTTATTTCATGATAATATTTATCTACTTCAAAGCGATAATAAAAAAATAAATTAATTCATAAAGATATTCAGTTAACATATTCGTAAGAATTAGAATTACATATGTTTGTACAAAATATTCATAACAAGTCACATCAACGAATTCTTTAAAAAAATATTTATTTACTCAAAAACAAGTTTAATGCAATAAAAATTCACAAGATAAACTGAATACTTCATCTAACCTGATAATAACTATAATCAAACTGAGAATAAAAAACCCACTGGTGAAAACTAAATTATCGTCACTCAGTTCGTGTGCTATTTCCTCAAAGGCAAGCCAACGAGCAGGAATATCACTATATCGAGGATCAGTCACCTGAAAAATTATTAATTTCGGGATTTACTAAAGTATAACGAATAAAGTATGCACAAAAGATCATGTTTAAAAAAGTGTCTAATGCATTAAATTACAAAACTACCATCCTGTATGTCATTATTCAACAAGAATATAGACTAAAATTATCGAAGATGTTATCAGAAATAAATTACAAAACTTGAACTTGGAAATCTAAAACATCACAGCAAAAATTTACCTTCCAAATCAAAGGTCTCCGATATACTTCTTGAACAAGTTGAGTCTTTTTGTCATTATCCATACCAAACATGGCCATTTTTCAACTAAAAATAATAAAATTACATATATTAACTAATTTTTTTCAACAGCATTATTCACAAATTACGAATACATATTCTACCACAGAACTTGATTAAGATATTTTAAGTCTTATAACTAGTAACTTAACTACTTGCGCTAACAATGTTGGCATACTGCTCTTTCCAAATAAATAAATCTTATATACTTTTGCACCATATTAAATTGATCAATATTTTAATCTAATTATATTAGTATTTAGAAATGTCACTTCATACTATAATAAAGAATATTCAATGAGCACTTGACTCACTAAACAATCAAAATAGTTAACGTGCGACAACATATAAAATTTTTGCTCGCTCGTCTCATATTTCGAATAGAGAACAGAAATTTCGCGGCCCACGGCTTCCTTTTATAACGGAAAAATTAGAAAAACTCAGTCACTCGCTCTTTTAGCAATATGTCAGACCAACTACTAGTGATGAACTTGCATTGTGATCACCAAAAGTTAATCTCGGTAAAGCGACTTTGAAGGAACTGTAACAACTTGTCTTCCTCACAACTAGCTCCCTCAGCACATTCCATCCCTACTGCTTTATTGGTTATTACGTACCTCTTAAGATTAGGAATCCAGTTCGTCCTTAACTTTGCTATTTGCTTACTCCTGTTTTTCTTCTGCACTTATGTATGTATTGTATTTCACAGTTCAGATAAAAATCATTCATAAAAACGATTAAAAATTTATGCAAAACAAACATATATTATAACAAGCACAATTTATATGCTTGATGGATAAAGCATTATTCTAACTCGCATTCCCATCGCACTCGGCGGAAGATTTCTACGAAATTTTGCCTTTAATACACCACTGTTTCCATGTACGCGAGTAATTTTTCCCAAAATAACACGTGCTCTACTGAGTTTATTTTTTGACTGAAAACTTCAAATATGACTTAATACACAAAGATACTAAACAATGATCAGTTCAAAATTTCAAAATGTAAGCATAAACAATGCTCAGCTTGAATTCGGACTGTTCTAAATATCCAATAAATGAAATTTATAACTCAAAAAAAAGAAACTAACATGATGGAATAAAAATATTCCTGCAATACCTCAAAGGTAATAAGTCTTAAATAAACTTGGTTAATAATGCATAACTTACCGCACTTTTCTTATGTGCCTTATAGACGTAAACTGCACGTTTACCAATGTACCATTGAGCATCATAGTTATTATAAACGCCGTCCACTCTTAGTAATGCTGTGTGTTCTCGTTGATTCCTTTGAGATCGCTTGTATCCAGAGAAGACGGCTTTTACATATAACCGACCAGCTGATTTGGAAGCGAGTTGTTTAGGTTCATCACTATCTCCCGACATTGCTTAAAAAACCATGCAATCTTGTTGTTTCTATAAACAGCATCAAATACTATGTAACTACGAAACACAGCAGCTGAAACAACATAGCAGTGCAAAATAATACTTGAAACCCAACTCAATACGAAAAGAGTGTATACGACACTTTCAACAACTTCAACTGACTCTTACTGCATTTAATATGATTCAATAATTACTATAACTCATGTATTTCGAAAAAACAATACTACACAACTTAAAGAAAACAGTGCTAAAAAAAGCTTTAATTCCTATACTTTTTCAGATGAAGGCAAGTAAGACCACCAATTCCTTCCTTTAAAAAATGAAAATTAGCTAATACATGAAAAGCTTACAGTGTGAAACAAAAAAAAGAGGACTCATAATTCCATAACAAACAAAACTGCATCACATATTACACAGGAAAACTTCACGAATAAATTATTTTTATGGAGCATTTACGGCTTGCTTGAAGAATACAAATAACACTTAACACATGATTATTACAAAACTTGTAACTTCAATTAAGACCAGCAAACACACTTCAAAAGCGGAAAATATAACTATATATTACCTACAGAGCACTTAATTTTCCAGCACATCTTGTCTTTGGAATGTATATTTGTGAGATTTTGATATATTCCACGTTTTTGCCTCAAAACTAGTAAATTATGAAACACAAAATATGTTTTCAAATAAGTCGAAAGAAGTTGTATCTTTCATATTACAAAAATAATGGTAAATAAAAGATTTAAATCCCAAAGTTGATTAAAAAACGATGAATCATTCACTTGAATTCAGAAACTCAAATTCTAATGCTTGTTTACAACAATCCAGCTATATCACTTCATCTAATAAACATGGATTTCATTCATGCTTATACCCACCTTACAAATATAAATGAAATGATATTTTCTAAAATAAATACAGCACAATATCTAGAACAGCCACACTAAACTGTCAAGAAAGGTGTAATTTAGCTACCTAAAGAATAAAAACATGTGTACGAGTTTTCCACACCACTGAGTATTGAAAAAAATGTTTCAGCTGTACGTATAGAAAACTACTTTCGCCAAAACCACCCCTTAACCAAACCACCGATTCCTTGCTGACTTGCATCTGATTCCTCTTTATTTGATATAGGCCCTTTATTTTTCCGCTGACCACGTTTTGGTGTTTCTTTTTTATCAACAGAGTAGGAAGCAATCTTTGACTCCAGATCTGGCATCTACAATGATATTCTTGAAAAAATGTAATCAGACAAGTAACACCAAAACGAAAATAAGTACCAAAAATTGACTTGCCTTAATGTGATTTAAAGCCAAATCGAAAAACATAGGCTTAGTTGGCATAGGTATGAATGAAGGAGGCATTGCAATAACTCGAAAACTTTTTTCTTCATTATGCAGATCATCGGGCTCAATCTTGCGAAATTCATCCAAGGTATTAATGAGTGGCTGAAAAAAACAAGAAAACTCATTAAGAATTCTTGTTTATATATATATATATATTTGTTTTCTTTCTATGAGGTCAAGTTTAAATTCTACAAAATACATACCTTATTATAATGCGTTTTTTCTTTCACAACTTCCTTGCAGTTATTTGCAATCTCAGCAAGACGATTTGCTTGTGCAGCAAACTTTGATGATGTGATTTGCTTGAGCAAATTCTTCAAATTATCCTGGAAATGCTCATTTTTGATATATGAACAAAACAAACAAAGAGGACAATCAATCCTTTAGCTTATATACCTTAAAATATAATTTTAACCTCGCTTTCTAAAATTAGAGAATTCCCTTTTGCATTACTTAACATATCTGATGCATTTTTAATGCGTTCTGCAGCTCGGTCATATAGAGCATCAGCTTCATTCCATTTTAATACTATGACGAAAGCTTCTGCCATGCAAAAACATCTGAAAAAAAAATGACTACCTTACATAATAAATTTCTGAGAAAGAAAAAAGATCGTACATGTGCCAAGTCAAATATCTAACGAGACACAATATATATGAAATAATTTTTGCCTGGGAAAAAAGGGTTTAAAATGACTGTTTATCTTAGAATACTTTAGAATATTATTTCAGAAAAAGAAAGCAGTCTTGATAATTTATTTGCAAGGCAGTAAGGAGCGATTATGACGCTATAAAATCTCATTTTAAACTGAATGAAGCGTGGAACTTAAAACAAATGCAATTATTAATATGCAAAAGCAACCTAAATGCTCGATAATATTCCGCTTTAATTTTGTACACTGCTTCTAAATCTTTGTTGAATGAAATGCCAGGAAGTGCCAAAATTTCACAACAATTTTCGATCACTGTATCGCACAAACGTATCAGATCTTGTGGCTTCACCTTCTTATCTGTTTGTTCTCTAAATGTAAGAATAAAAACTTTCAAAAAAAATATTTTAATTGCAAATGTAGACCTATATGATTGAAATATTAAGTACCAAATAGAATCTTAAAGACTTTTTATATTGTGATTTTCGATCAAATAAACATTTTATTACATGAAAAAGGAATAATGCCAATCTCAAGTTTTATTTAAAGGAAAATGCTGAGGTGAAATCGAAACTGTCCGGTACCTTGTATGTGTAATAATCATGATGTATCGCTCAATAGTTCTAGTAAGGCGTACAAATTCTAAGTACACAGTGATAAGTTGATTGGAACGACCGTCAATTGATTTACCACTGCCAGCAAATTTCTTCTGCTCCTCGTTTAAGGTTTGTATCACATCACGGATATTACCCAACAACTGCTCATAAAGAGTCATCTGAAAAATCATTTCTAGATAAAACCTTAGACATTATCATTTTTTCTGAAATTAATTAGCATACGAACGCTATATTTCAATTAAATGAATATTTTGTGCTTCAACAGGACTTTCAACAAATTCTATTCCTTGTTTTTGTATGAACAGCATAATAGCTATTTAACATCAAAAGTTTAACAGTAATGAAACTAAAACAGTCTTTGCAGTTCTTGTTGTACTTTGCAGAAAATTCAAATCATAGCTTGTTAAAGCTTCAAGGTGTCTTCGAATACCCTAACATAAGCTCAATTAAAGGAGTTTAACATTTTTGCTAACATTTAGTAATAATAAGAGTGAAGTTTGTGAATAAAGACAAGAGATAACCTTATCTTCATATGTTGTAGTTTGAGCAAGTTCTTTGTCAAACTGTTCAAGAGCTTGCAAAAGATTTTTAACACCATCATTTGTGACAGAAATCTTTTCATTGCCCCATTCAATATCCTTTGCATGGCACATTGTAGCCTTTGTGCGCAATTCTGCTATTAGCTTCTAAAAGTAACTTCATTTTGCAAATAAATTTGCAAAAAGCTTTAAACCATAAATCTTCAGCCATTAAAATACAAAAGAGTCTTAATAGCATATTTAATCTGATTAACCTCTACTGTCTTTTTGAGAAAAAATTAATGCTAAACCAACATCGAAGTCATCCTGTAAAGCACCTTCTTCACCAAGTTGTAGCCTCATATTAATCATTTCTGACATGGCAGCATCACGACTAGCATCATCACCGCAATTAAACTCACAATAACGCATTTGTGGCTGTATTTCTCGACATCTAAACAACGATTACAAAATTCTGTAGAGCATGGCAACGAAAACTTTCTAAATGCACTAAAAATTAGCAACAAATACCTAGCTTTGTAAAGTTCCATTAAATCTGAAAGTGCCACAACTGCAGCCAAATTCTCGTATATCTTCCTAAAATAATAGTTCGGATATTATATTCTACCATAACATACTTCATGAAAACTCACACTATTTTCAAAAATACTTGGCACAAACTCGTATAAAGAGTTGAGACAAACTAGAACAAATACATACAGCAATTTAAATGCCAAGAAACTTCAAACTTATTCTAATAATAATTACTTGGCAGTTCTGAAGTATTCCAAAGCTCCTTTCCACTTTTTTAATTCAAAATGAAGACACCCATTCATCCATGAACTATATGCTTGTGACTCCAATTTAGTAACCGCATCTACCTAAAATATTTGAGCAAGTAAAGTCAAGACATACGCAACTTTTCCGAGAAAAATTAGTCACTTGTATTACTGATCGAAATATGTGCTGCAAAGGTGCATATAAATAAAACTAACACGATCACAACTCTTAGTTACACTTTCAAGATTTGATGAATGCTTTACAGCTCTTCTCAATTTTGCAATCATATGGAAACGTTTTCTAGAATGTATATCTTCACCAGCTTCTTGCTTTAGTTGCATTGCATATGACCAATTCCTTTCAGCATCAAAAACAGCTATTTGTAGATATCTAACAAATGCAGTTACTTTATTAATAACAATAAACTGTGTTGAAAGATATCTGAAGTAACACTTCAAAGAAGTACACAAAATGAAAAACGTCTTTTTGAACTTATGCCAGTTTATTATTTAGTTTCCACAAATAAAACCAGCATTGACTTTTCTGACAATAATGTAAGTAAAAAAAACTTAATAAACCTTTCTTCAGTTACAGCGTCGAATATGAGTTTCCGAGAAACAAACTTTGCGGGGTGCTTCGGAATACCTTTATGTACGTTAGTGAAACCCAAAGATTTTCGAATTCTTCGAACACGACGAGCACAATAACCTCTATAACCATCAAAGTTTCTTCATGCTATTACAATGCATTGTTTTCAATTCATAATAAAACACCCAGTATCATTTATATCAATTTATCACTGAAGTGAACATGTTAGAAAAAAAAGCCTTCAATTCTGAACTTCTGTACGTGTACTCTAACAGAGTTCAAAAGATTAATATATATAAAATAACTCAAATCCCCCGTAAAGATCACTCTACTTGCTAACAAAAAGAAACAAAATAATGTTTAAAAAATATCTGCTTGAAGTCAATCAATCAAATCATAACAATACAATCAAAAAATAAATGAAATATATATGAATTAATGAAAACAGATATATTCTTACGATTTAAAAATATAAGGAAAATGAATTAATGAACCGATATCTTTGGTAATCTCCATGCCGTAGTCCATGCTTTTGTTGAGCATCTTTAATTAACTGTAAAATAGATAAAGTTGCAAAAGATGCTAGAACAGCACCCTCTTTCTTCTGATAATCGGCAGAAGTCATACCAGTCTAAAACACTGCAGTAAGTTATAATGAACCTTCTCTTGAAACAATTCACAATTCTTGATAATTTATAGTAAATTCGCAGACAATGCCCACTTGAAGTCAAACGTACATAACCATGATGTAACAGCCAACCAGATAACGTCATTAAAGATAGAAGTAACTATTAATCTAAAGCAGCACAATAAGTAATTATAAGACAAATCGCGATTAATATTTAATTAGATTAGATGAGACAGTTATACTAAATATTTACGTATTAAAATGAAATTCACGAATTTCAGATGATAGTTTTCGAAAGTCATTAAAAATATTTGATAGGCCCAAAACCAAAAAAAAATTCAATCCGCCTAAAATCAAGTAAGTTACTAATTAGTCCACGAATCTCACTTTAAATACACTTAAATTATGAATCTCACACAAAGTAAAACAATAAGAGCAACAATATGGGAGAGTCTACTATCTTCCTAAACCTAAAACTCTAAAGATCTAAAGTTTTTCACTGAAACCCAAAACAGATGCCAATTATAGACTCCAAGTAGTCCGTTAAATATTGCTTATGTTATTGATTATGTAGAGGGTGTCAGAATCAGCTGTGAAGGTTCGGTCGTGTATTTATTTATTGAGGTCAGGTGCTTGGGAGATGTTTGTAATTAGGTCAGGATAAGAATTATATGAAGTTCTGTCCAGGTTTTAGTTATCGGTTTACTTATGTATTTGTTTACAAGCTATACCGGAATATAGTTTCGCAGATTTGACTAGTTACTGATGTTGATATTTGTCCGTTTCAAGTTGAAATTGGTAACATTTTCTTGTCATCATATATAAGTGAGATAGAAACATATATTCAGGTTTCATCAGTAAATCTTTTCAGTAGTTCTTGTTATAAGCTGTTAATTTAACATTAATTCCAGTATAATTTTTCCTATTTCCCGTCGTATCTGGTATCTGGGCTGTTAATTTCTGGTAATTGAATTAGTCATTTCCAACTAATAAATGTTATTTGATATTGTCCTTTAATTTTCTAAGATATGTGAATTCATTTAAAAAAATATGAAATTAATATGTTCATATAGTATTTCAAACACATCGTAGTTTTTTTGTGTGCTTGAAATCATGATGAAGTTGTTACCATTCCCTTTCAAGTTTAGTATTAGTAGATCGGAATGCATGAAAGAGCAGGAGAAATTATGCTGAAATTGTAGATAAATTAGTTTATAACTAATTGAGCAATTAAAGCTGTCTATCATTTTTATCGTTCGCAGTTTATTATGATGCTTACAACTTCATGTTATTAATTTGCAGTTACTTTTCAGTTCTGGTGACTTTCAAGGTATTTAACGTTCTCTAGTTCATCATTTATCCATCAAAATGTCAACGTTAGTTTATCTCTGATATTTTTTTTTACATATTTAGCCACCTGTGGAAGAGATTTATACCGAAGCATATTTTAGATTAGCAAAACCACGGTCTGAAATGACTCAAGATGAATTAGCAGCTAAGGAACAGGAAGAATTCAATGTTGGTCCACTGTCAGTACTTACTCAGTCGGTAAAAAATAACGCTCAAGTATTGATCAACTGCAGAAATAATAAGAAATTATTGGGTCGAGTTAAAGCTTTTGACCGGTTTGTTTCTACATTTTTATGAGAATAATATCCAGCTTTTTTACAGGTTTCAGAATTATGCCTATTTTTATTGATAATAATTTTATGCAGTGAGTTTGAAAATTTTTAGGCAATAATTTCGCGTTGTTTTCCTGCACTGCAATAACGTCAGAGTGTAAATTATACATATTTTCTCGTATATATAGTCATAAATTCATATAATAATGGATTTACGACTTCATACAGGAAAATATGCATAATTTAAATAATTCCTATATCAGCTGTTATTTATAGGCACTGTAATATGGTTCTAGAGGGTGTGAAAGAAATGTGGACAGAATTACCAAAAACTGGAAAAGGAAAGAAGAAGGCAAAGCCAGTAGCAAAAGATCGTTTCATTTCAAAAATGTTTCTTCGAGGGGATTCGGTTATTATTGTATTGAAAAATCCAGCGATTTCCACCCAAAGTTAATCAACCAAAAGGTATAAATATGAGATAGTAAATATATTACTTCATACAAGATTGCTCTATTTGCATATCTCTTCCGCTTTAATTTCTTGCATTTCCAGAATAAAAATCTTAATTTGGCATTGAACTTGTGCATGAAGTTTCAAAATTAATTGTTAAGAGAGTTACTAAAAACAACAGCAAGTATCAAAACGCTACAAGCTACTTTTCATCTATGTAGTTTCATTTATTTATTTTGTCATTTATACATTGTCATTGAAAATAGAACTGTTAGAAAATTCATGCTCGCACACAATATAATTCTACGGACTTAATTTTCTGCATTATATCATTCCATGAAGTCACATCTCACTCTCCACATTATCCATCAGACATCTTGTGCATGCGCTACATTTCGGCACTATTGATCTGTTTTGAGCCTGTGGAAATTTCGATAATGAGAATTTATACTTACATTGTTTAGTTTTATCTCTTTCGTGTGATGTATTCGATGTTGCAAACGAATTAATTTTGGATTGTTTCGCAATATATTTCTGTTACAGTGCTGCAAGACAGGATGGGACTTGGATAACCTTTACTTGGCAGTACGGTTATCTCAGTATAACTGCTGGCATCAAGACTAAATGCAGAATGAAATCAGCAGTTTCATCCATTAGCGGTAGGCAATTTTGCCACGAAAGCAAAAAAGAGTGTCGAACATATGTACATTGTTAGAACTGATTTCTTGGTATAGTGTCATCTTTACCGAAATAAGCTAGACAGCTAAAAATTAAATGCGAAACTGGCAAAGCACTAGAAATATCAGGATGAAGAAAACAATGTACACAGTAAGATACAGCAGTTATAAGAATCATATGCTAAGTGTTCAAACCTTTATATCACCGTACAGTTTCATACTGTTTGTTGTACAGGTATGCATGAGTTTCATATTTCTTACTATATAACTTTTTACACTGTATGTGGCACAAACAAAACATTTGAAAATTGCCGAACGGATACATAACATGTATATTGCGACTATGAAATTAATTGAATCCATTCTAAAAACTAGCACTGAGATTTCAAATTTGTGCAAGGAGTTTTCCCGCCGAAATAAAAATTCCAGGTAGAGGAAAATGTTTCTTTTTTAAAGCGAACTGAGACGAATCAGTCTCACTCTGACCATGATAGACGAAGTGAAGATTTATTGAATAAAAAGTGAGAGACGAACAAATATGCCTTGGTATGCTTTGTCTTTCGCTGTCACTCATCCCACTCTACCCAATCAGGTTTTCCGGGTGAATTCTCATATTCGGCTTTCGGAGTCTGTCGACTTTTGGTATCTTCATCATGTATTTCCTGCAACAATAGAATAACTCTATTTCTCGTATAAATGTTCTGAAAAAACATGAAAAAAAGGACTACTACTTATACAGTTTCGGTAGCATACTTGTAAATCAATGTTTGTACTTGAACAAACACTCCAACTTTCATCTGGAGTTGATCGCCTTTCTGGACTATGGTTATGTATCGCTTCCTTATCGGCATTCAAACAGCTTTGAGGCCTATGGGATTCTACAAAAAAAAATTGTTAATTATTAAAAGCATGAGATGGAAGGCTCGTGATTATGAATACGAAAGTTGTCCTAAAAACTGCACATGGTGCCGGAGCTTTCTACCTCGTGATCACATTCTTTTGTGTCATTTAAGGACAAGCAACCCAACCGACTATTTCAGTATTATGCTTTTTCATTTAACAATAAAAGTATATGAGTCAAACTTTTTGTGTCTGCAGCTGCTGCTTCCTTCTGGTTCTTACTGGCTTTACTTCTGTCATCTTCTAGCAGCTGTTTTTCAGCATAAGCTTGCAAATTAACCAGCAATTCAGTTTGATGAACTTTGTAAAAATATCTTTTCCAAAATGTCGCATTTTCGATCAAGTCAGGCACCTAAACTCAAGTGAGTTTAATTATTTTTCCAAATACACCTTAATTAATGAAATTAATTATATAAACTTATACGAACTTTTTAGAACATGCTTTATCATTGTTTAACAGCTAGAATTTGACACCAGCCCATTTCTATGCGTTAAAAAAAATATTATTTTCCTATGTATTGTGCTAACTATTTCACACCAAATGAATATCGTAAAGTTAAAAAGCAAGAAAATATGATTCCAATAATTTTCAAAAAAAGTAGTAATTTTCAGTACCAATTCTTGATATAATGCTCTCATTGGAGGGCAGTTGGCGAGTAAAGTACTGATTTCTTCATCATATGCATTCAAATCGAAATTCTTGCACCACATATTGAATAGTTCACCGTCGCCTTCTGGTTGATTCTCATAAGTATCTCGATCCGTTTGTATGCTATATAAGACGTGCTGAAAAATGAAAGAAACAAAGTAGATGCCATTAGGAATTTTAAAAATATAGCCTTGTCTTATCTGATATTGGAATTAATGAATTTTTCTGACATAGCAATTTTGGAACAGCATCAAAATTTTCATCAGCTTCTTAAATATCTTTGAAAATTAAAAAAAAGCTTAGCTCGAAAAACGACTTAAGAGACGATGACACATGATTGCATGAAGAAATTCAAGAATACTCCACTTTTAAAACTGTATAAAACTGATTTACATGAGGTAAATTAGTGCTCTTTGCGATATTCACTTCTGGATAAATGATTTCTTCAAACAGTTCCTCATCTTTAGTCGTATTGTCTAGTGCAATATTTTTCACAGTATCAACAATTGTTTTGACCCATGAATTTTCTGTGATTGCAGGAACTGAGGGAAGCTTTGGAGTCCAAGAAATATTGTGAGTTGAGCTCGATTGTTTTACCTTAACGGAACCGCTTCAAAAATTATGAGCATTTTATAAATAATAATGAATTAGGATATTATTCTGAGACGGGTTAACAACCACTGATTAATGCTGTAAGAAATTAAAATTATATTGTGGATGTTAATTCAATTAAGTCGACCACTGATGTATATTTTAGTTTTTCAAAAGTTTATTATTGGCAGAATCCATAGTTAAAGAGCTTGGTAAAGCACCATCACTTTCCAATTTTTTCTGTAAATTAATCAAAAGCTTCAGAAATAAAGAATGTAGACAACTGATTTTTTTAATATTGTTAACAAAGACCGACGATTTTCCTCGTTCATTAAAAGCAACTGCTGTACTAAACAGATCTAAATGTTAAAGTATCTAAAGCAACTGGAAGTAAAACTTGACAAAATACCCTTAACAAAATCTAGAATCTATATTCCTGGAACCTCTTTACATAAAATGGATTACTATTTGTTCACTTCATCTTTAATTTAGTTTATAAAACAGGTAATAATGATCAAATTGTAGCCACTGTTTGCACTAAGGATTAAAACAGAAATTCTCATAATTCATGCCAGAATTCGATGATGTCATTTAATACAAAATCTATGCCTTGATTTAACAAACTTATGCTTTCTTAGATGAATCATTAGTTGAGTTACAGTTACCAGAAAATGACAGTTGATGGCATATTCATGAATTAATTTTGACTTTTTTCTCTCCAATTATATTGTATAGAATAATCAACTGTACTAATACTGATCGATACTAATCAACAACTTACTTCACTTGGTTCATTTCTGGTTTTATCTTCCTCTTCTTCAACGCTTTGCTGTTCATGTTCCTCTTCAAAACTTATGATCTGCTGTAAATGATGCGCCTGCTGTTTAACACTTTCAACAGTACTGCTTGCAAATGCACTTGCTTCATTAGCAACTACATCACTGAGTTCAGTTAGATCTTTTTTGACTAATTCAAGCGTTGTGTAAGTCTGAAAAAAAAATTATTAACAGACTTGTGCATCACATATTGCATACACACCTTATTTTATAAAATAAATTTATCTAAAAGTTTCAACAACTTTACAAAAATTCTCACTATCATACTGCTCACGTGTAATTGCTAAAAAGCAAATAATATGAAAAAAATAACACACACAAAGTAAACTAATATTAGATTCTTGCAAAATGGAATGGAAATATTTTAAGACAAGCAAAAAATGACTTTACTTTATTTACGTGTTGATATTACTGTATGAAAAGATCTGTGTTTCTTGGGAAAACAATTTGATATTGCAACGAATATTTTAAGACTTTTAAGACATAGAAATAAATATCGATATCAGTCTATAATGGATAATCTTCGCCACGCATGTTGATATTTTGGTGTTTATTTCAGGATATATCTTGAAACATTTATGAACTGTACTTCTACATCTGTCAAGAATGATCGCGTGAAAATATACACTGATGCTTTTATGTGATCATATTTGGTATACTTACAAGTTTTATAAATGCGTCAGAAAAAAATAACACTATCTCAGAATTACGTATGTACACCTGGTGCTTTTTTGACATATGTACAAAATAAATAATTATCTTGTCGTTGGTATATAAATATCTTATGGTTTATGAGTCAAGACATATAACATGTGAAAAATGAATTTTTTATAACTTCAGATTAAAAATATTTTCGCACTTTCATGTGAATAAATTATGCCTTTGAAATTCTAGAACGAATTTCTGGTAATCTAAGCACAAAAATAATTTCTGTAATCCCTGAAAGTTAAAAAATGGCTGAAAAAATTCGACAACCAAAACAAATCACCTTTTCCTTAGCTGTCTTAAGCCAAGAAGAGCCCCAGTTAGTACCCGAAGCAACCCAACCTTGGACTGAATCTTCCGTACTTTTGCAAGCTTCTTCCTTATCAGCATCACAAGACTGCTCGTCATTTGATATCGCCTTATCACCTGCACAACTTTCACTTTTATCCATGCTATCTAAAGCGTTATTAAGTACACAATTTGAAATAAAAAAGCAAAAATTAGAATCACACACCTAATACTAAAACATAGTAATAACTCTTAAATTCCAATCATTTACCATACCAATCACTCATAAACTTCCCAATAACATGACATACGAATAAATTATATACGGCCTTCTACTGAAACTAACTCATCCAAAATTAAATTTTAAAAATTTAAACTTTATTTATTTTCAAGCCTTTTCGTGAAACAATTTTCGTGATTTTTCAATTTTTTATTTATTGTAATTCTTCTTGCCTCTACTACTTATTTAATAATTAAGAAGTATATCTAATATTTTACCTAGACATATTGATTTTGCACTTACAACTATCTATAATTTTTATTAATTACTATTTGTATATTTTATTGGTTGTTTATTTTCCAAAAATTTGTTTTAGATTTTTTTCGTTTAATTTTTTGATACAAATTTGTGCAAAAAATATGATAAAATAATAGTAATTTCAAAAATTATATAATTTATACAATAAATATTAATATAATTACAAATTCCTTTTATTTTTTAGTTTACTTTTTCCTATAGAATTAAGAAGCTAGTCTGCTAAATACATAATCATAAAATGTTAGATAGAAACTTGGAAATAAGAGATCAGGCGGCTTTTATTTTCTTTCCCGCTAAAAACAAATAAAGACTGAAACACGATCATTCTAGATTCATTTGCTAGAGTTAATTTTTTGAATTGGTTGAAAGTTTTGATTGATTTTCAGTAATCAATTTTTAATTGTTATTATATCTTAAATTATTGGACCATTTTTGTGATTTAATAACTTGTTTAATAAAATTGTTCATTACTATACAAATCAAAATCAATTGCAATTTGAACAGCATTATTTAATGGTATCCAATATGTTTATTTAAATAACTATATAATATGTTTAATTACAGTAAGGCAATGTACGATGAAATATCCATTTATTCGAGCAAAACTTTTTTCGTTATAATTTTTTGTGGCAAATATGACCACTTCATTGTATTATAATAGTAAATTAACTGTTGATTGCTGAAAGTTAACTTAAGTATTCCATGCTTTTAAGTAAACTTTACTTTTTTGAAATAGTCTTAATTCTAATTACTTACTTCATATTTAGCTTAATTAAGAGTACTATATATGTCTGTATAGAGTTACCTGAATCATACGGATACTATGTATAAACTGCTGTAAAAACAAAATTAAAAATCGGAAGTGGTATATCAGTGGAAAGTTTATAATCACTGTAGGACAGAAGTTGATCTTCTGTCAAGTTACAGTGCTGGCAAAGTTTATTAAGTTGAAAATCTGATTTTCATTTTTTTAACTCTTTTTAAAAATTTTGGAAATTTTTAATCTTCGTAACTTGAAAATCTGATTTTCAACTTAATAAACTTTGCCGACACTGAGACTTGACAGAAAATCAAGTTCTGTATAGTTTTTATTAAGTTAGAGTATTCGCTTTTTCCCTGATTCCATGCAAACTGTGGTTCGGTTTTTAATAGATTACTGTGAAGTAATGCTACTAAAAAAATTATTGAATTTGAATTTTTAAGGAATAAAGAATTGATTTAATTATAAAGAGTCATACTTTAGATTTTATTATATTTTAAGGTATCAAAGGATGGATAATGAGAATACCAAAGATGTAGCACGCACTCGGAAACCACGTAAAGGACGTAAGCCATGTTTTTGGAAATGCTTCAAAAAAGCAGTTACTGATATTTGTATGTAAAAATTGTCCTGATATCAACATCAGCGATAATAGTAGTGACAAGATCAACTTTTAATTAGCTGCATGTAGTTTGAACACTAATAAAATTTTAATTGTAAAATTTGCAATAATTATGCAATTCAGTCATTCTGCTTTGCTCTTGCCTATTTATTTATTTACCCATTTGTTCTAAGCTCTTTTTTAAAAGTAGATTTCTAACTTATTTAGTGAGTACTTTTCAGACTGTCATTAAATATTCACTGAGTAATATTTTCTAAAACTAATTTGTCATAATAAATTTTGAGAAAACGAATAACGATACATCTATTTTTGATGCACAAAATTTAGTAAGACATTCAGTTACCTTAGAATTTCTCGTTAGTTCTTATTTATTCAGAATTCTTTAATAACATTATTTGCTTTAAATTTCCAATATGAAAAATAATTCATTCCAGCTTGTTAATTCTAGTTTGTACATATTTTTGCGATTCATCTTTGTGACTTACTGTCAAGGTCATAGTGCATAATCAACCAGTTGAAAGTGACAATCTTAGATAAGAAATTATTCTTTTCGATTGAAATTTTCTGAGATTTATGTCTTAAAAAAGTTGTTAACGACAAAAATTTGTTAATTTTTTAATTAAATTTTAATTTTTTTCAGGGAATTTACGAAGATCTTTTGGAAATTTTCTAAAAAGAGTTAAAAAAATACTTGCTCAGACTTTTTCACCTTGGTTCAGAAATTCTGAAGAAACTATTACCAAACGGCGAATTCCAAAAGTTATTTGATATTCTGTGAATCGTACAAGTTTTGAAACGAATTATGGTGAAACTAATTCGTTTTTAAATTTTCTATAGCAATTTTCTAGTTTTTAAATTTAACTAAAAAATTTTAAGAAGCAAAGTGTAAATAATAAAATGATTACGGGACAAAAATGTCACATTGAAAATAAACAAGCGTCATCTACGTGTCACTCTCAGATATTTCACATGAAGGAAGTGCCTATTAACACAAAATGTAACATTGATACTGCCCATCATATCAGTGATGTAAGTGACAAATTTTTTTTGTTCAAAATAATTTCATATAAATTATTAAGTGATAAGAAAAGATACTTAATACTTTATTAAAACTATTTATAGTATACAGTAAATGCCATACTGAGAATTATGTTGAGAGAGTGAAAATGGAAATTTTTAATTTTTTAAAATCTCTTTCATCAAACAATAAAACACACAATGATAGAAACTAAGAAGATTCGAAAATGTTTATAATATCTATTTGTCATCAATAAGAATTTGATTTATTTTTTTATTAATAAGTAAATTAATCATACATGGATAAAAACAAGTTGAAGTAAACAAGTTCTGATAAAAAATTAACCTATTAAAATGAGAATTGATCTAATAATTCAGTTATTTCATTTCAAAAAGTTGATTTAGTACTTATAATAGAAAAACGTGATATGTGTAAAACAATTTAGAATAATTTGTTGAAACAATAATAGATTTAAAACAATTTATAAGAGTAAAATTTCAATTAACATGGCAAAAAAACATTCAAAAGTAAGTGATAATTAAATAGGTCATGCAATTTAGAATTTACTGACCTCGCCTGTGATAGTCGTTCATTCAGAAAGCAACAGTTTGAAGGATTTCATTCTCCACGATGATTATTTTGAAGATAGTTGGGGTCTTAATTCAAGCTTTGTAGTGTTCGATCATGCAGCAAACTTATCTCTTCCCACTGTTAGCATTATTTCCATAGGTTACTGTAACTTTCATACATCGTAGCACCTATTTTTCTACTCTTCTGTATTAAATCCGTTCATTTTTAAATTACTACAGTGTTTTAATTAGTTCGAGAATTCCACTCCCAAGGTACCGTGGCTTTTCCACTATCATTCATTCATGCAATCAAAGCGCTTTTTAAATGGTCGTATATTCCACCCTATATGAGTACTAAAACTTTACACTAATTTGCTGTAGTATTATTTAAATTATTGAACATACCTCAGTAATATGCGATTTTTTTTCAATTCATATAGAGTGCGCAGTCATCTGATGATAGTTTCAAAGCATCTACTAATGTAATCAGACGGAGAAATATTGAAAGTAAGTAATACCTATTAAAGTTAAGCTAATTAAATTAGAACGATTTGTTCACGACCAATTTTTTAAAGTTAAAAAATTAAATCAAATCAGTCTTGAGTTAATTAATTAAAAACCTTTTAAGTATATTTGTTTTAAGTATAAGTTTTAAAATATATTTTGTAAGTATACCGTCAAGTTTAAGTAGATCTTATTATAAATTTTCAGGCAAAAAAATTTCAGCTAAACGAACTTCACGTATATCACTTTCAGTCAATGACTGCACAACAAATACTGATATTGATATCAACAAGTAATATTTGAACAATGTGAATGTTATGATTTTTGGATATTAGTGAGGTCCTTTAATTCAGCGATTAATTTTCAGTTGTAGAAAAGATTTGAGCGAAAATCTCAGAAAAACTTATAATGGTGCGGATGCAAATATTGTATCGAAAAAAACTGCCGATAATATCAAAGATTACTTGCATGAAAGTAAGTGTGGCAAGTATATATACCTTACAAATATCTAAAAAACAGATTTTAGTAAACTTTGTAAATTTCAGGGAAGTAAATCAAATCAGTCTTGAGTTAATTAATTAAAAACCTCTAAATTAGACTAATAATTTAGATATAAAAGATGAAAATGAACTAAACTGTCTTCCAACAAATATATTAGACCAAACTGACCACAACATGAATGGTAATTTCTTATATTCTTATTACATATGTAATAACAGCACCAACAAAAATTATATCAAGTTCCATTTCAATTATTAAATTACGTACTTGACCGTAAGATTAAGAATATTAGGTCATTTTTCAGTAAATAGTTTGTCGAGTTAAGCATTCAAGTTTTGACTGTTTTGCTTTCAGAATTTAGCTTTTCCAATAGTTTCTTCGATGACAGCTATTTCGAATTGCTAACAGAAGCATAGCACCCAAATATTTTGAAGAACATTTTTATCTTGCAAGAACCTTCGATATATTTGTAAACTTTGACCTTTAAGCTTAACAATGGTTTGTTCTTTTATAGTTTTGTTACAAACCATTTGATTATCGACTTGTAACAACCTCTAACTACTTAAATTAAGACATATGTAGACAAATATTACTTGCATGTTTTGTGCAATTTAGTGATACTGCACTTTAACGGCCAAATTTATGAAACTAACTTGAACATTATATTGTAAGTATCTGTAGCTAATTCTACATGCCATATTGTGTATGTAAACTATCAAAATCCCATCAAAACACGCTGAAGTTTTGCGCAATATTCTTTACACCATATTTACTTCAAGAATTATTTTCATGGATTCATCCAGGACATATCTCATCTTCTATAACTTCTGTAAGTGTCAAAATCAAAATAAATCCTTCTTCTCATGTACATCAACCATTTTAGATATGAAAGATGAAAATAAATTAGACTGTCTCCCAACAAATATATTAGATCAAACTGACCGCAACACGAATGGTAATCTTTTATATTCTGCTTGTGATTATATTGCATTCTACGCAGCATAATCACAAGCAGATCTTTTCTGCCGATTACGTAAAAAGTAAGAATGAAGTCAGGCATTAGCAAACAGATCACACCAGTACGTGCTAAGCACAAAATTATAACTCGAATTTATGTACCAAACTTTTGGGATAAGCAGTAATGTACCTGGCAAAAGTATCTCTAAGCCCCATACGAATTGCTATATATCAATTAGTACCATTCTCGCATCACGCAAATGGCTAGATAATATGCACAAACCTTATTCATCAGAGCCAAAAACCTCCTAGCAATCACATTTCTCTCAAGATTCAGTATGGAATCTCCTAATCTTAATTTTTTAATATACCTAAATATGAAATTCTCCAACACAGACCCTATACTAAATTTAGCTTCTATGTATCCAACAGTATTCTAGTTCTGATTTATGTAATTTAAATATATTTCCGCCGTTATTTCCAAGAAAATAGTTTCATCTAAGTCCTAAAGAATATAACTTACTAAGGAGATTTTTATAGATTTAATTTGTCTCTAATAATAATGCAAATAACAATAACCATATAATTCCATCAGTACACATATAAATAGTTTATATATTGTTATAATCTAAACAAAGCCAACACTTTTCACCGTACTATCAATTTACATTCAATTTATTGTATCAGACAAATAATCAAATAAAAAAATAAATTAACCTACCGAAAACATTTTCAGTCATTTTCCATTAAATTAAAGACCACTAATTCGTAATTAATTATAAATTAATAATGTTCGAAATGTCATAAAACTTATCAAAAAACAGCATATACACATATACTTTTCTATATATTGAAATCAAATACTAACAAAGCACTTGACATTCATGGCAAACAATTATATTGTATTATAAATTTCAATAATCACAGAATTTCTACACAACTTATGAATAATTAATGCTTTTGAATTGTAGCTATAATTATTATATACGAAAAAGACCAAGAAAAAATAGAACAAATGACATAGGGAGAAAAACAAATGAATATTGCACCGCAAAAGCAACAAAATTTTAAGCAATAAAAAACATAGACTCGCGTTGGACAAGAAAATATGATAATATGAATAATGATAATAAAATAATAATAATAATCATTATTATGCTCAAGAATGCATCACAAATCAACACACCAATCACACTAGATTCATTTGAAATCATCGCAAAAATAATGAAAGAAATAAAATGCAAAAATTGGGCTATTATAAGATAACAATGAGAAGCATCGAAGTCAAATCAAATAACTCGAGCAGATAAGAATGAATCGGATGAAATAAAACAAATAACATATTGACTTTGGAACTGGAAAAATTAAAGTAAAAGAAAAATAACATGCAGTATCGTATTATTATGAATACAGCAAAGAATTACTGTCAATAAACAAGTACAACAGAATATTTGCATTTCTAGCCCAAACTTACTCACTATTATTGTAAACAATAACTATGCAAATTTCATTGTGAAAAAACTGACAACTAACACTTATAAGTTTGGACCAGGGCTATCAAAAAAAGCTTGTATTTTCTCGTATAAAAACATATATTTGAAAATTTAATTCACATTGATGATTGATAATCAATCAAGTCCATAATTTATAATATCAAACTAAGGCAGTTTCTATAAAAAGAACACTTGTAATAATCACAACAAAATCATAACCATCAATATTAAGCTAATGGGAATTGACTGGAAAAATACAAGCAGAAAATACAGCAAAAAATTTTCAAAATCTTATCTAAACAAGTTTACAATTTTATTTTGAAACGATCAGTATATTAAATTTTCAGCGATATATGAATAATACAATAACTTCCATTTCTTATTTAACTGATCAATTTTTCCAATTTTTCAAAAAATAACCTAATCTATCTAATATATAATTAAGTCTGGAACCAAGATAACTTTAATTTCTTTTTATAGCCAAAAATTATTTTGATTTAACAGCAAATCTAATTCATGCTATCAATAACTCGAAATTTTCCTTTCTAATATTTATAAAATCATTACTGACTTAAATTTTATGACTGCTAATAATAAATTATAATATTAATCATAGAATCAACAAATTCATTTGCTAGCATTAGTTTGTTCGTGCATAAGCTGTAGTAAACTGAAGCCACGTTGCATACCGCTGCTATTTGCATTGTTATTATTGTATCGCTGTGAATTGAACATTTGCGCTTGCTGAATAATTCTTACCATTTCTGTAATTGGTGTTAATACCGCTGCATTCGAAGCAGCTACTGCCGCCGCTGCTGCTGCTGCTGCCGGTGTAAATATCGCTAAAGGTGTACTGAAACAACACAAGGTGTCATATAGTAGTAATAATAATATTATTATTGGTGTGATTTAAAATCATTTAGAATAATGTAATAAGCACAACAACAGCTACAAACCTTTGTCAGTTGAGATAGTGACAATAAGAGTTACTTACTAATTAACAGACAACAGTAAGAACTACTGAATCACGATTTAAGAAAACAATAACACCTGTTACCTGAGATAACAAAAACAATAGAATAGCTATTTTTACTTGTCTCTCATTATAAAATAACTTTACAATCCTTATCAATGGACCGCTTATATGGATATTTAAATCTTATAATAATATTTAATAATAATTTTGGTCCTATAGATAAGGAATGAAACAAATTTTGCTCTTTCATTGATCAATGAAGCTATTCATAAATTCTAATATTCATATAATCATTCTCTACACAATCTAATACAATTCTAAATCTAAAAAGAAACTAACATGCTCTTAAAATTCCTCTACACAAAACTAAAATACAATTTTGCTTCGGTAGTAATGACAATCCCTTATAACGAGATCGCTACTATTATTACTATTAAGTAAGGTAAACGACCTCAGATGACCTTCTTGACTACCATCTGTTCATGATTCTAACAAAACTGACTTTTATCAAGTAATCATAAAACTAACCTCATTGATGAGGTTAGTTTTATGATTACTAGATAAAAATTAGTTTAACTTTATTTACAATATAATTTTGTTGTTGTTGATTGATTTAATTAACACTAGGTGATAAAAATAAAGATTAGTAATATTATTCATTCGAAATGTATAATATAATACCTAGTGGGCTCATTCATAACAGTGCTTGGAATTTGCTTCGAACTTGATTTCCCATTTGTAAGATCCAATGGCAAAAGAGAGGATGATGTTTCACCGTATTCTAATATCGGTACTGGAGCCTTTACTGTACACGCATCTACTTCACGTTTTGCTTGCTGTAAATTGAAAGATTAACATTTATCAAGTTAATTCTGAATTTTGTACATATTTAAGGTGAATCTGAGCAGCCACATTTTGTATTACTTATACGAAATACAAAAATAATGCAGTATATGTCATTTTAAACTTCAGAAATTCAGTTTGACGACTAATATCTTACTGTTATTTCTTCAGTAACTGCTAACTTGACGGGCCTATCACATTTACGCTTACGAGTTCCAAACTGAGTATTCTTTTCAGGACTTAATTTTGGACGTGATGTAACAGAATTATCACTATTACTTTGTGACAGTGGTGACTGAGCGTTTATGCTTGCCTCTGATGAACCAGCAAAATACAATAAATTATCCTGTATAATTAATAAAATTTCAATGGAAAAACTTAATTGCTATTTATTATATTTATACTAAATTTTTGCTTTGTTTTTCATTTTAAGAACTTTGAACAACAAAAAAAACTCTTACGCAAGCAATCACAAAAAATAATTTCCAAATACAATATAATATACAGTAACGAATAAAAATATACAAACCATTCTCGGTACAGAACTATCACGTGAATTATCACCATTAAATGAATCAAGCTGCCTGTGAGCAGCAGAAGTATGCAATTTTGGATTTGGATTAGCTGAATGCCGATTCCTATTCAAATATATTGGATCATTTACTTGCAAAAATTATACAGAAACAAAATTAATATCACCAATTTTAAAGTTTGCATAATTTATATGCTTTATTCTACCAGCATATATAATTTTCTGAAGTAAAAATATGAGCTAAACAATAAAAACAATCTAAAACAGTTTACATTACTTTTGCTATTTACTAACATAAATTGATAACTTCTGAAGATTCCACTATTTCCAAATAAAAATTCATAAATATGTAACCTAATAATAATAAACCTCCAAAACTGACAATACTCTACGTATTTAATAGATGAAATTAGAAATATTTGTTTAGGATAATATTTTAAAAACTTAATGATTGAATGATAAACGAAGAATATTAAACGCACTTACCTATATATTAATTCAATAACTGTAACTTCATTCAAAGAACAAACCTGCTACGCCTTGATGAAAACATCATTTCACATCCTTCTACTGTACACTTATGCATTTCTTTAAGATGTACCGCACTATTATGAATCTTCAACGCTCCTTTATCACAAAATGTTTTGAAACATTTCATACATTGTACTCGTCTTTTTCCATTATTTTTTAACGTCTAAAATACAAAATTGCTACCCAATGTAATCTCTAAAATTAGACAAGAACAAATTTTGAAATAGGAATAATTTTTAAAGAATTAAAGAAGTTAAATGCATCAACATCTAATTCATTTCATTCAAACGAAAAAATGTTATATCTAAAATCTACGATAATTTATTGCGACTCTCAGTAAATTCAGCAAACCGCAATCAAGTTAGAAAAAATTTGACCACGTAAATTGCGTTAAATTTAATACAAAGAAATGACTACTTGCTTTAAATGAACAACTTCAAAAACTAACGAATACTACCAACTTCAGATCCAAAAATAAGAATTGCTTAAAAATTGTATTCACTTTATAAATCACAGTTGCCCTATGACCTGATTACCATATTTTAATTTAACAAGCTGAACAACACTATTTGCTTTAAAAATTATGCAAAAACTACAAAACTGAAACCTGAACTCACATATAATTTAGAATACTTCATATTATAGAAAACCGCAAACAATTTACTTGAGTTATCGGCTTCGCACTCAATTCACCGTTTTCATGGTATGGTACAGAATCAAATTTGACAACTCCTTCATCAATTACTGCAGTTTCATCTTGTTGCATCGGTTCTTGCTGCTGTGAATGTAGCTTTACATCTTTTCCAGTCAAATCATCAACTTCATCAGCAATTAATTCTGATGAAACATGTTCATCACTTGCTGATGCTTCACATCCACTTGTAGATTCCGATACTCGAGAACCTTACATGATTTTATCCCATTTTATTTAGAGATAGTATGATCCATTTAACACATAGTATTTTTAACATATATAGAGAAATATTTTAATATATGCATAGACAATTAATGAAATGCATTAAAAGATCTTACGTACGTAAAAACGCAAATGATTATTAAAATTACTCTCATAATTATTAGATGAATAATTTTTTTCAGCGTTAAAATATATTAATTTAATTTGTCGTACTTCTAGCCATCTTAAACAGTTTTAGAACTTTTTCTAATCTCAACTTCTGCTGTCACATGTAGCATATTATAGAACTCTATTTTCAGTGACAAATTTAACTATTTCAAAAATATATATCAGATTTTCTAATATGGCTACCGATACATTATAATTTTTCCTTAAAATTCTAGTTTACAACACTTGAACGATGATTGACGTGCACACATTCTAGAAACAGTAATATAAAGACTACCACAAAAGTACGCTTAAAACCGGTTAATATGTCCAGCTTACAATTAATTCCGCTATTCTGCTATGATACTTTTAAAATAAAATACTAAAATAACTAAAATGCCATATTTTAGAATTATAATCATCAATGCCTGTAAATTTATATCATAATAAAATTTCTTTAACACAATTTGAAGAATTACATGAAACAAAAAAAAGAAACTTCAAAACATCATACAATTATGACCCGTTTTCTGGGTTTAAATTATGAATAAAAAATAAATGAAGAAAAACAATAAATACTTACAAGGTCTTACAAATGTATCTGGTACAGGCTGTTGTTGTGAAGATACATTTACAACTGGTGGTGGAAATGTTACAAATGCTGGCCAATTATGCAAAAATGATGGTACTAAGGATCGACGAAGTGGATCAACTAATTCAGCGCAAGATGCTATACCCGTGAAACGATCCATAAGCTGTAGCTCACATTGGACATTTGCACATAGCCAATTACTCAACGGTTTACCAGTTTTAACATCCTAAAATTATTTTTACCTATATTATTATGTCACTTATCCTAATATTATTACTAATTAACAGACATAAAAAATAATTTTGCTTAAAATAAAAATTATAATTTATAAACTTTTTTATATCTTTCGTCAGAAATACCAGTAAATACACTACAACATTTCTTTTTGTTCAAATTTGAGAATTTTTTTAACAAATCATAACTACTACCACTTTTGCAATTCACACACATTAGATGCCATCATCAATACATAAATTACAAAACAATATCAAGGGGAAAAATTGTGAAATAAATCAAGAAAATAATATATAGGGGAAAAAAACGAACGCAAAAAAATACAAAGATTTAAACAAAATTTTTTGTTATCTTAAACCACTGTAGTACACAATGAATATGCATTCAATAGTTATTTATATATATTTATTCAAAGAATATTTCAAAACTTAGCAATTAATTCATATGAATAAAAATGACTATAATTAATATCTCTTCTAATATTATCCAGTATAACTTTTCCATTACAGTTACTTGAACAACTTTTCTTTACCGTAAATCCAAGTTAAAATTAGATTTGGGATAAATAATAACACTTACAAATGCACATTCGTAGTTATTCAAACGTTATAAAATGCCAAGCAAATATACAAATTAATTACAGTACTACTAAAACAAAAACTTACTAATACCAACACTGTTGCTGATACCAATTATTATGGTTTCAGACTTAGCAATAATAATAATAATAATAGCAGTAGCAGTAGCACAATTATCAACATCACCACCGAAATCAATTTAGAAGCATTTAAAATTTAATTTTCATCACTACTTCAATTTAGTTTTCACAATGCTTAAAGATAATAACTGACTTTTTAATATACGAAATGCACTTAATTTCTAGAAATTGTATTCAATATTTATATTACTTTGAAACTGCTTCGGTTTTTCTCCGATTGGGCCAAATACATCGCCGAGAATTTGTGCTGTTTCATTTTCATTTCCATTATTCTGCAATCTACCTTTAATATAATATTTCAGTATTTAATCCCCACATTTTGTTTCTCCTACTTTCTCGAGAATTTTAAAATTCAAGAAATTTTTCTGATTTTGCGTGAGTCTACTAAAAAATCTTGAAATATTACACCTCTATATACATTGCCTAACTTAAACTTAAATATAAGTTTTGGTACAATTATCATTCTCAAATATTTTATCGCAATTATCGAAAAAAATTGATACTGAATCCATACTGAGTGTTCACCTAGCTAATTCCCTGAACTGTTACATTATTATTTTCTCATTTGCTTTGAAAAACTTTGAAGCTATTCAAACTTATTTGCAAATTTTAAAAAATTCCTGAATATTCTTAAGATGTATTTCTGTGCCACTAATTTGTAATAACAGCAATAATAACTGTTAACACTGAGAAATAATTGCTAACTAAATTAGTATCACCTAATTAAAATTCGAAATCTGTATTTCATATATATATCACTCAAATTTTTACTTTCTAAGCATCATAATGATCTGTTGGAAGAGAACATATTAACATATAGTTATCCAGCATAAATCAATCGAAAAGTTCTGATAATTACTTACAGGTCAGATCACAAAGTCTGAACTCACCGCTTTGCTTAATTATATCTTACAATATTGATGCAAAACTTACTATCAAAAGAATAGTTGATAGGGTAGGCTAGCTTTAATTTGAATCTTTTAATTTCATCTCATTTCATATTTTTCATTGAAAGTTGCTGAATTCAGAAGTAATTCTTGATTGATAATATTACTATTTATCAATCATATATATCTATGATTCAATATAATGCTGGTAGAATATAGAGAAAAAATATTCTTGTTCTTCATAACTGACGCTACAACGGAATGATCTTTAAGGTAAAATTATAAAATATATTATAAGAAAATTAAACGTAACTAAAAGTTTCCCATCAAATATGAATATTTTCATCCGTATATGCATAATGCGCTCAGTACGACAATTAAGGAGCCTAGCCTAAAACTGTTATCACCGATGTACTTTCTTTTTAATTAAACTGCACCAAAAATAAAGTGAATTAAAAAAGCCTTTCTAATTTACAGTGATGTCAAACTATCAATTACCGCAGAGGTAACATAATTTTAAATTACCTTACTTATTTTTACAACTATTAATTATTAAGAACATTTTCTTTTTCTGCATCATTTCAATATATTAAATAGTAATAATAGGTAAATGAAAAAGCTCTCATAATTATTCAATATACGATATTGAACATGGGAAAAATGTTAAAATTGTCATTATATACTTGTGAATAAAATTGATTTCTGGATAATTAAGGCAATCCAAAACAACAAGAAATTATTTACTTCAATAAAAACTAGCAGAAAAAGTGAAAATTTAATTAATTTGTGCTTTTGTACAATCTGTTGTTCAAATAAATTAAATAATCGCTGTTAGACAAATCTAAACATAAACTAATACTAGCATATAAAAAAATGCTGACAAGAAATTAGAGAACTTTTGCAATACCAATACGTAAATTAAAAAAGTGAATTATGAATTAACAGAAATGAAATGTAATAAATAAAGCGATTAAAATATAATGATATAATAAATATGAGCATAAATATATGAGTACGTAAACCATAAATAGGCATTACTTAAATACAAAAAGTATGAATAGATTATATGTCCATCTACAATAAAAGTGAATAAATAGTAAATAATTGCTCATTACAAGAAAAATCATATTTTCAAGTGGTTACTAATATAAACGAAAGAATAAATAGAAACATACAAAATGACCAAAACAGACAAAATAATTAACAGTATGAAATGCATCGATGAAATTAAATTCAGTATGCATATACTGAATACAAAAAATATAAGTGATATATAAAAAGACAATAGTATATATTGATAAAAAATATGTTAGACATATAAATAATGAAGTAAATAAATATAGCTTTCAGGAGAATTAGACGAATAATAAGTTAGAATCAACTGTTCATAATAAATAAAAATGAAAAACGATTGTGACTGCAAACATCGAATATGCAAATTTAGATTACAATCAAATAGCCATGAGTGATAAATAAATGAATAAATACTAAAACTGTGGATAACAAATGCCACGAAATTATATTCAGCATAGTTATCGAAGTCTGGAAAAGACAGAGTAGTTGCCTACAAAAATCGAACATAGAGAAACTGTCATGTGAAAATGCAGTAAATATATAAAAAACTGCAGTTATGGAGGATAAAATTGCCAAAATATTCAAAAGATTTTAGTAAATCAGTAAATTCAATAACTTAAATTTTCGATTATAAAAAATTTAAATTTTCTGACATAAAAACTTTTATATAAAGTCTAAAAATTTAATACATATCCCAAATGAATTTATAGTTTTCAA